TCATTCAACTTTTTAAGAGGAATTAGTTAAACAACAACAACAACAATTGTTATCAAAATAATGGTTAAACTGGGAATGCTATTTGTGATGATAAAAAATGAAGCTAATCGATTTTCAGCATTTTTAAAGATTATATTATTACAATAATATATCCGGCTATAGAGATGTATCAATTGATTGGCAATGAGAGAAAAGACGATCCGAAAAATTTCCATGTTAATCAATGGCAAGTTTGAGGCTCATTTTGAGTCAACCATTGGTCGACTCTTAGACAATGGTAAAGCCCATTAAAATGGTTAACTTTTCATCACTTATCACAGCTTATCATTATCATGCTTGTGGCTTTGGATAACTCTTAACTCCTGGCAAGAGCCTTGTCATGAATACAATAGAGGTTGACCTGAAATGAAAAACTATACTTTTGTTGTTGTTTTTTTTACTGCTTCTGCTGTTGCCTTTTCATTTTGAATCACTTTGTAAGAGTAAACTGTTAAAGGTTGAAAAAAACACTCAACAGGATCTAGTTTTTGTTGTTGCAAATTGAGATTAACTTTTGAAAATGGCTCCTCAATATTGTCCATATTAATGTTAACTCTTCATTTTTTTTTCATCATCGGATCAACAATTGTTCATCTTTTAAGTGGCTCTTCTCTTTCCCTTTTACTCATCATACTTCTCATCGTTATCCTCATCCTCTCCAAGGGAGGTAAAAGTAGGAGTTGATATTTTATTGACAACTTTTTGGGTTGCATTAGTTCAATCCCTTTACTTACTAGGGTTCAACTTTATCATTTATTGACCATTTTAATGGTTCAAATCAAGTTACATGCTATCAAAAGGTTAACTTTTCCTGTTTCGATTTCGCTTTTTGTAAGCATCGGAAGAATCAATTTTTTTGATCCAATTTTAAATTAAAAGATTGCATGATGCAAAATGAATTCAAATATTAAAGGCAAAGTATTATTGAGTAATACTTTAGCTTTTCATAAATTAATTCATTTGAAAGTATAGCAATGAACAAGAAAAGGAATGACTAAAGCGATTTGATTGAAAATAAAAGAGAAAAATTTAAAATGGAATTTGATTTGAACTCGAAAGAAGTAATGAAGATACACAAGATAGCACACCTTTCGATAGGACATTATAAACAAAAACAGTATATTTAGCGCATTGATTCGTCTGTTGGACAATTGATACTTTGTTCCTTCATTAAGGTCAATACATCTGATCGAATCGTCCTGTCGACTTTTAATAGTTGAGTTAATTTGTTAGTGAGATTAATGCAGTTTAACCAAAATATAAGGTTATCTAGGGCGAGGATGGCAAAAGTTATTTTATATTTTATTTCACCCAAATAAATGAAGGTAAAGTGTAAGAATTTGAATAAGATTTCCAATTGGAGGAACTACTAATTCCTCATCAAAGATAATGAGGAAAAGGAGGAAAGTTGATACAAAACAATTTTCAATGCAAAGTATTGGTGATGATGGGCGATATTGATGATGAGGATGAAACAATGAAAAAATCCAATGGTTTCAATTTATATCAATGTTAGGTGGAATAGCAGGTGAAATTTATTCTATTTTTTCTTGGATCCAATTGAAAACTAGTCTCAAGCCTAAAGAGAACTGACCAAATGAAGAAATGGACAGTAAAAGGAAATTGGTGCCTCAAATTATAAACTCACTTTATGTGGACCATTTTATAATACATTTGATTTAGAAATGAAAAACTTCAAGTTGTGAGAAATGCAAAATTTTTGAGGTTTAGGTCTGCAATCCAATTCATCGTTTCATATGCATTTACTTTCTGTCGTCATGTTTTGTTGCATTACATTTCAATTTGATTTGGACTGAATTTCAATTTTGATAAATAGCTTATAAAGCTAATGAAAATCTTCAAGAACAAAATTTCATTTTATTTTCATTGAAAAACGCTAACAAAAAATGGCTTATTTAGCCCATGTCAGACGGTGTTGGCCCAGATCTGGACAAAATTAACTGTCCCAAAAGCAACCTTTTATATACTAATATTGATTGACATTAATAACTGAAGAAATGAAAAATGAAAGTAAAACAAAATGAGAACTTGTATCAATTTATTCATCAACTGAAAAGACAAAAGAAATGTTACATTCTCTTCCTTCTCATTTACCATGTTCATCATCTTCTTGTCCTTTACAAGTTCACTTTTCACAGTTCGATTAAGATTCATTGGCAACTAAAGTGATTCACAGTGAGAGATGATGAATATAAAGAAGCAAGAAGAAGAGGCAACAAAAAAAAAGTGAAGTAAAAAAATACTCTTTTTATAACTTGTCATCCCTTCAACTTTACTAGACTTTTGTTTCCCCTTCATTCCCATTGTGAGTCTAAGGCATATTCACCCTTTACCCTGGCGATGAGGATGATAATGATGATGGCAAAAGTTTAAAAGCATCACTTTCACCCGTCCGACATGAGTATCAGGAGAATGACTATTGGACTCTTCTGGATGCTCCATTGGCCACAGACACTGTCTATAGATGAAGATAAATCCTTTTTGCATAATGGCTTAAGATAATCGAGAGATGAAACAAGATGATAATAATGATCAAGAGTAAACCCTTCTTTCACTTGCACTACTTTTCACTCTCATCATTATCAATGTATTTAAATGTTTACAATGTTTAACCTTATTTTTAAACATTTCACTATTTATCCCTTTTTATCATCATTATATTATGAGAGAGAGAGAGAGTTGCCTTTTTATTTAATAATAACACAAAATGCACAGCCAACAACCATTCATTATTTCAAATCAAATCAAAACATTTTTCACAATTCAATCTCGTCTTTCATGTTAAACATAATCAACAAACCATCTACACCATTTTGCATCCCATCCTCATCATCATCAAAAATCGTCTTCTTTCACTTCATTGCTTCACTTGTTTTTTTTTGCAAAATTTTTTGCTTCTCTTTTTTGTCGACTCTTTTTTTTTCACTTGATGACTTTAAATCCTTTTTTTTGTCAACATTGCACTTTATGTGTCTAATAACCCTTTAACATCTTATGTTGATGTTGTTGATTGTTTGCTTGTTTATGACACTTTGTGAGTTGAATAAGATGATGAACCATTTCTAAACAATTGTGAACCTTTTGTTGTTGTTTTTCAAGCCATTTCTTGATGACTGATTCCATTGACTGATTGTCAGTCAACAATTTAAATGATTGTTTAAAATGATTCAAGAAAATGGAATTACATTTGCAAGAAGAAGAAGATGAAGATGAAAATAGGAAAGAAAAATAAACAACTTTAGGGTTATTCAATTGATGGGGAATGATGAGTAGGAAAACAAAAGTAAATGTTTATGTTTCAATTGACTTTTCAGCTTTATTTTAATGTTAACCATTTTATTCATTCATTTGCATCTATTTTCATCACTGATGATAATGTTAATAATCATTCTGAATGGGTTGACATTTAACCCATTATTGTTATTATAACGTTATTGAGATTCATGATTGAGAATCATTTTTGTTTTTCTTCTCCTTTTTTGCTTTCCATTTCTCACCATTACTAATCAATAAACCGTTTTTCCTTTAACCAGTTTTACCAGTTTATTGTCATCAAGATGAGGGTTGGCAATGATGATGATCATTGATGAGGTTAGAGATGATAATGGTTTTTAGTTGAAGATAATTTAATTGTAACATAAAAGGGTAAACAAAAGCCTTTTGTACATTACAATATTAGGTGATAAAGATTGGCTTGTTGGCCTATTGGTCAACCCCTTGTGGTAAGTATACTGTAAACAGAACAAGTATAAGATGATTTCAATGTTGCTAGTTGACCAAGGTCAATATTACCACTCAATGGTGTGGTCAATATTAAAACATGGTGACATACAGGAATCAAGTTTGAACAAAAGGTTATCAATATTAGATTATACATGCAGATATAAGAGTATATACATGATATTGTTACCCAAGTTAAAGTAAATATTGTCATCAAGAGCAACATCAAGATGTGTCCAAGTATAAAAATGTCAATTGGCTTTACTTTCATCTTTCCTTTTCCATCTTCTTTTCATTCCAGTTAAAAGCTGATTATCCAATTTATAATGATCAAGTTAATTGTCTATTCATTTTTGCACATAAACATTTAAAGTCAACCTTGCGAGTATCAATGACAATTCAAGTTATTCACTTGACTGACAGTTGTTATTTTTTTGCATTGCAACTCATTACCATTATTTGATTGTAAGTGAGTTACTTGACGTCTAACTTTTTGTTTCTTGCTGCCTGATTTGATATCAAATGAATATATGATTTGGGAAATGATTTAAATCAAAATGGATAAGATGGAAGTGAGAGAAGAGACTGAAAATGAAAATGAACAAGTTGAATTTGAAGTGGAAAACATGATGTTTCCTTGTTAATAACATGATGGATCGGGATATGATGTTTCCACATTCCAATAAGATGAGGCCAATCGAGATGGAAACTTTCAAAATAAGTAATGCTAAAAAGAGGAAAAAGAAGACGAAATAAACAGTAAAATCTAAACTTTCTTTTTTTTCTCTCTTCCTTTTCTTCTTCTTCATCAATCTTTGTCTTTTTATTTCCTCTCTTTCTCTGTCTACCACTTTCACTTTCCTTATCATTCTCATGATGAAGATCATCTTTACAAGGGAAAGAAGCAAGTTCAATAAATAAAGTTCAATTTGTAGGTTAAATCTGTATGATTACTTTGAAGAGCAAGAAAAATATCTGATAACAGAAGATGAACAAGAAGAAAAGGAAATTAAACCGTTTCAATGTTTTTGAGAGCAGAACATGATCATCATTTCATCTTCCCATAACCATCATTTTGTAAATGTAACTGACTACATTTACCTCTGTCAATCATTTACTAACCAAGAGGCACAAAAAAAGGTCAATTTTAAATTCATTCTTAACATTTTAATTTAATTTTTTGCTCAGATGAAGAAGTAGAAAAAAATTAAATTTTAAAGTCGATTGAAAATGAAACTATTGTTGCATATTGTATAAACCGTGTACTTGTATTATATATATAAAAAAATATGTAACTTCATGCAAGAAAAGATCTTAAAATAGTGAAGAAGATGATGAAAATGAAGCAAAAAATGGATCAAGATGAAGGTAATACTGGAAAGATGTTGACAGTTGCTGTTCTTGAAGAGAGACGACAACCACAGAAGACAACTATTATTATAAGAGGTAGAAAAAAACAGATGAGCTCAAGATTGACGAGTATCTTATTGAAGATGGCAATGAAGGCGAAATTCTTGTGCTTAGATGGTTATCATCATTTGATTTTAATCCTCTCTCTCTTTTTCCCTCTTTTGTCATCCAACGTAACATATGATTAGATTCCTTTTCATCAGCATCATCCTCTGTCAATTCACCGGGATCACTTTTATATTCATGGTTGTCCTTTTTGTGTTTAGCTTTTTACCTTCTTCTTCTCCTTGTTGCAATATATTGCTAAACAATATCATGTCAAGATGATGACGGTGGTGATGATATGAATGTGGAAGAGAGATTCAAAAAATGTATATTTCAACTATTTTTAACTATTATTATCTAGACTACTATCATCGTTTCCAGTATCATCAGCATCATTATTTGTTATTAGAGAAGTAAAGGATTTCCAACATTTACTTTTACGTTTGATGGATATCAATTAATTGGAATGCCTTTTTGTCTATTTTTGCTTTGTGCATCATTTGGTTGAGTAACAATCTTTTTCAATTTACATTGTCGGTGTTACACTTTTGGCCTTTTCTTGTTGGTCTTTCATGTTTCTGCCAATTTTGCAGGTCACTTGGTCAATTGATTACATTTGATTTGTACAATAGACGCTTTATAATCGCTTTGCAACTTTGAATCGAGAGCAGCGAAAAAAAGAGCAGAAAAACGTTTTCTTTTCTTTGATACTTGATGGTAACTGGTGATTTAAATGACTGGTGGTTTATATCTTGACGATAATCATCATTCAGTGTAACAATTGGTAACAACAATCGCTTTCCGTTTCAATGAGACGTTCTTAGTGATAATCTGGGATTGCTTGAGTTTCCTTTGCTTCAATATTGGTTCAACTTGCACAAATGACTGTCAAAACTTGAATCACTGAAAGAAATGAGAAAAATACGTTTAGTAATTGAATTATGAATCTAGATTATCAGTTAGGTTAAAGTCTAGGGTCAGAGATAATTAAATTTTGATGATGAAGTTGTATGAGAGGGAAAAAAATGGGTTAAGTTACAAACCTTTTTTTATTGTATTTTTGATGGATTAAGTTTATTCCAATAATCTGCAATTACGGTGTAATCAATGCTCAAACTGTACCGTATCAGCCAACTTTATTGTTTGCATAATTAGAAGCCTGTAAATTAATGGGTGAAACAAGTGATAATCATATTAATAAAAATAAGTTTACAGGGAAACATTATTTTATTTGTTTACTGTTCACTGAGATGAACAAAATTGTCACCAATCTTGTTTTTTTTTGTACACATTAGTTAATTGTAATTAACCAAATGGTAGTTTGTCAGCTAATCAGCGTTGGAACTTGGGAAAAAACAAAAGCTGAATCAATTAGATTATTAGATTATATTTTTTCGCCTTTGATCACTTCAATTCTTGTTCGTCCTTTTGTCTTCATCCAACAAGTTGTGTTCAAGTTGATTAACTAAAATGAAAAGCAATTGTGAAAGTTAAAAGTTGGTTGGGTTGACAAGCCAATCAAGAAAAGATTTAATTGTAATTGTTGTATTAACTGTTTACCATTTTGTATTGTTGATTACTTTTAACTTTACACTTCTCTTCACTTTGCAATGTAACTGTTTTTTAATCTCATTAACTTGAAATGTTTTCTCATTGCATTCATTGAGATAGACTTGAATAAAGAGGGGATAAAGAAGGAGAAATGGAACTGAAAAGCTTTCAAATGAATGAAGAGAATGATATGAAATTAAATTAAAAGATTAACAGACAGACTTATAGACAGGAAAAGATTTAGAAGGGGAAAGTTAAAAGGTCTTAACGTGACAATTTGACTCCAATTAAAGTTATAACTTATAAGTTACAGCAACTCAAAGCTAATCAATCTCAATGTGAATTTAGTTGATTTGGAAGGTAAAAAATTACTTTACTAATTAAATTAATGATCATCAAATCAAGTCAACATCAACCAAGTCGAGTTAACAAAGAAACTGGAAAATTTAAAGTAAACTTGAAAATTTTCAATGTCAATATAACACTGAACCTTTCTCAACAAATTTCACATGAAATTGGACAACATTCAATTAACGAGACAAACCATTCAGGTAAAGAAGTGGAATCGAAGGCAAAAGACGAAAACAATTGAAATGATCGAAGCAAATCAAATTGCGATCAATCAGTGAAGGCGTAAAACTGGAAGCGATTGAGAGAAAGAACGATCGAAATAATTTCAAAGCCAAAGTGAACCATTTATATGACTCAGGAGCTTTGGATATTAATTGTAACAACGTTTCTCCTCATCAATATCATATCATATAAGGCTAACAATTAATCCCATGAGGTAAGGTTATCTTCATCTTATATCCATCATCAATCCTTTTATATCATCAGGTTTCCGGTTAAAGTCAAGTTAACCAACAACAATAGGGAAAACTTGTCAATCTGTATAAGAGAGAGAGAAAGAGAAGCAAATAATAAGTATTAGTAATAGTAAAGTTATAAGCAATAATAGTTATAATAATAATAGTGATAATAATAATATATATATTTACTTGAAAAGAAAGGTTAAAGAAATTTTTATCAAGGGAAACATTAGATTCACAAAATACATCATTGTTGTTGTTGAGGTTTGGTATCCAAATGTGTCAAGACAAATAATAATCAACGTCTCGATATTGTTAAGGTTTGCAGTTTCACTCATTTTTAGATGCTGTTCAGTTTAGTTGATAAACAATCAAGTTTTATATGTAATAAGAGTTATTACTGGAACAAAAAAAAGCAAGGAAACAAAGAAAAAGAAACAAATTAGAAAAGAATGAAATAATTTTTTTACTTTCAAGATTTTCTTACCTTCATCGTCAACTTTAAAATCACTCCCAAGTTGAAATAGTAACAATTTTGATATTATTATCGATAGGAAATAAAGTTTGTTCTTGGTGAAATTCAAGATAACTTTAAGTTCAATCAACCATCCATTTCAAAAAATCACTTTGTCAGGTCAAATTTAATCAACTTTGATCATTTTAGATTTTCACTTGAAACTTTAACTCTCCAAAGGAACTGTAAAAAAAGGCAACCAAATACAAGAAGAGAAGGTAAGTAAAAAAATATCAAGTGGATAAGGTCAAATAAATGTATTTTGATAGGAAGAGGGAAATGTTAATAATTTCTTGCCTTCCTTCGACATCGTTTTTTCTTCTCTCGTCTTTCCTCCTTTTTTGTGCTTGATGAAATACTTATGAAGAAAAACTGCGATTTTGTGGAAATCATGATTAACACATTAACAAATATTAATTTTTTTGGCTTTGTCTCAAATTGTTATCAAGTGTCAATGGTTATGACCACTTTTCATATATATTTATGTATATCCCTCCTTTGGTTTGCTTGTTAGTTGAAAATGTTTCAATTGCAACTTCAAATCCAATCCATCATGACAAGAAACTAATAACTTGAGGTTAGTTGGGAGTCACCATAATGTTAATAATGCTAAAGAAAAGATGTGAAAGAATGTAAAATATAATATTAGTATCTAAGTGTATATATATATTGTATAAAGAGTGATATTCTGTGATAATAATGACATTAGTTGACATTTTCTGAGACGTAGAAATGATATAAAAATAACATTGCAAGAAATATTCTTGGGTCAGAAGGTAAGGGTTAATCGGTAAAATTAATTGTTTTGCTCCATGTCAATTGTAATGTTAATTATTAACCTTGTGTTTATCTTTTTGGACTAAAATTACTTACCCTCTGGTGGTGATGATTATAATAGTAATAAGAAGAGCATTAAAATTACTAACAACATTTGACTGTTGTTTGTTTAATTATTGTCCGCTCGTTTAAAGTGTAAGGCTGGATAATATCAATATTGTTCATACTTGAAGGAAAGTAATGTCAATATAAATGTGTGGAAGTGTTGAATGTATGTGAGTGAGTGTGAGTGTGTTTGCTTACTTTCGTGATGAGTTTAGTTTCAAAACAATTTCCTCCTTCTTAAATCAATTCCTATTATTTGGACATCAACATCTGAAGAAGTGAACAAACAGAAAATTAAGTTCCTAGGAAATAGAAATAAAAATATTAGCTTTTCTCTTTTTATTTAGCTTTCTTCTTTTTTTGAGACTTACTATTTTTATTATTTGATCATCTCTTCATTATATTATATTTTTCTCATCACCTTTACCCACCATATTCAATTTACCATCCGATAAAGTGTGTATCAGATTCAAGCGTCCAGGTTAACACTTGTTCAATCAACTTGTCGAATAAATGTTCTTTCATTTGATTTAGATTAACCATTCCATGTTAGTTATAAATTGAGTCGTGTCTCTAGAATATTCACGATGAGCTTACATGAATTAATTCAACCATTCCAGTTGTACCTAGATAGCTATAAATAAAAGAGTTGTCCGGTTCTTTGATTAAACATATTTTGAAAAGACATTTATAATGTTTGATATTAGACTTACCCAGTTAGAACAGTTAAAAGGCGATGAACGATAGTTTAAATAATAGTCTCTTCTGAAAATCAATAATAATTAACATGATAAACAGTAATACACAGTAATTCAAATTAATTCTTAATCTTTAATGCATTGAATAATTAAAACAATGCATATGAATTTTTTTCCGTTAGACAATCATATCCCGCCATCTAGAGGTAGCTTTTACTACTTGTAAAATGCATTTCGAGTTGAAGACTTCAATATTGTTGAAACATCGTTCTGTTCAAGTAAAATCGCATTGAACTCATCAGGTTAGAGAATGAAATCTTCTGAAAGCAGATTAAGATTTCTTAATGGTGATCGCACCTTCATATTGAGAAAATAATCGAAAAATTTTACAATGGAAATGTTAATTTGCTTCAAGTTGATTATAATGAAAAATTAAAGAGATTTATCTAGTTTGGCCCGAAAAATCAAATCAATTTAAGCAAAATTTAGAAGTGAAAATATCTATTTTATTGTTGTCGTAACAGAATGGATAAAATTAGTTGATTGATCAACTTAATCATTACATGATTGAACTTTTTGTGATTTTTATCAATCGATAGCTTGATGATGAAAATATGTAAAATGAATTCATTTTAGTTTACAATAACAAAAGTCTATTAATAGTTAATCAAAAGAATTGATTTTTTAGTTGATAAATTAAGTCTACATAGAAACTTTTGAATCACAAGAGGAGATGAATTGTTTTATCATCACCACACAAATACTGAAAACAAATTCAATCTTTTTTTAGTCCTTGCGATCAATGAAAGTGTTTGGACATCTGTGAAACAAGACTAGGGAAATTTGATGAATAGTTTAAAATCTCAATCAGCAGGGTTTTCGAGACGATAGAAATGTTGATTAAAATTTTCCTTGGGTTACAAATATTTTTTCGCCATTGTTCGGAAAAATTTACCCTTACGCACATTAGCAGCTTCGTTGAGAATATCTTCAGGGTTATTTGCGTTGAGTTCTGATTGTCCAATTAAATGGAGTGATTTATTTTTCCTATCGATCTCACCTCTTCTTGTATGAAGATTAACCAGATACTCTAAAATTGTAATGTCCCAAAATGAATCATATAAATCATCACAGCTATCATTACATGATTTTTCACTAAGTCCTTTGAAAATGAGAGCATAATTGGGTTCCTTAACCATTTGATGGAGAACTGCAGCTTGAGTGTGACACCCCAATTTAGTAGAACAATGTATCATCCTTGAAATTATTTTTTCTTCCTCAGGATAAGTTCCAAATACTGTAAAGTATTCTGTGGTAATTATCATCAGTGTCAAGTAGTTACTCATGGCATCTGCATATTGTCCTTCAATAATAGCTAATTCGGCTTTACATCGAAGTAAATTGATTTCATTGGGCTTGAGAGACAATCCTTTTTTAAGAAGAACTTTAAGAGTGTCAAAAATACTTGATAAATCGATATTAGCTGAGCTTGCTGGTAATGAGCTGGGCCATTGGAAAGTTGGCTGGGGTAAGACAGTAAGCTCGATTCCAGAAATGTCTCTTTTGAGATTGAGAATTTTGATTAAACATGATGTAAGAAGATTAATATGAGCAGAATTTTTGAGTTTCTTGATGAATTGACAAAAAATATCCAGGTCCCAGCTTGATAGAGGTAAATGTATATTACGTTTGGCAATTATCCGGTTTCTATCATAAGGTAGCACATTACAGATTAAATCCCAAAGTTCTTTTGCTTTCATTGGATGATGAGAAGGAGAATCTGTACTAGCCAGAGATGAAAGAAGTGATGATAGGCGAAGTAGAGGATGTTTGGAATTGACGAAATCTTTCAAAGTTTGTGGGCTTGATTCAAGCAAGAAAAGACAACAGAGATCTACAAGCTCTAAAGGAAGATCAGCTAATAGTATTTCATTTCGCAAAGTTCGTTCACATTTTGCAAGAAGCTCTAGGTTTCGTCTTTCGTCTATATCATTACTTTCAACATGGTGCTGTAAATCAGTTTCCAAAAGTTCAAAAGTGATGATATCAGCCAAATTCGGTAGAGATGCTTGATAATCTTCTAATAAGGATAAATATAAAATTCTAGACTCAATATACATTTTAGCTCGTCGAAGTTCAGCTGCTTTCGCTAAAGCGATATGACATTTGTTATATTGAGGAATGGGGAGGTTTGATAAACACGAAGCATGGGCTAGAGGTATATCCCAAGCACGATTGATCATCAATGGAGGCTTGTTTACTTTGGGAATCAAGTCTTGGATAACTTCAGGAACAGTTGCTTCCAATAACAATAATTCTGGATCTTTTTCAACTTCATCATCACCTCCGTCGATTTCTCCTTCCTCTTCACCTTCGGTTAAAGACGCCATGTGAACATCTGATCCATTTTCAAGAGTTTTCACGGGTTCTGATATTTCAGGTATTAATTCCTTTAAACCATTCATACGGCTTGTTAAATAAAATGCAAAACGGCGGATATTCTGTTTTTCTGTATTGCTGTCACAGCGAGCATAAAATTGATTAAGTTTAGCGGATATTAGTTGTAGGTCAACTGTTCTTTCAACGAAACTTAGATCACAGGAGACTCCTTTTTTGGCATTTTGTAGACACTCGTCAAAATAAATTTCAAATGACTTGGACCCAGAGTCTCTTGTAGAAACATCACTGCACAGTTCTTTTGATGATTCAATATATTGAGATAAGTTTTTAAACGATTCATCGTTCAATTTAGAAACATTGATGGCTCGAAAATGTTTATCGGCTAAAACGTAATTTTCATTAAAAAAGTACCATTTACCAAGCTCATAGTGAACAATATCATAAAGATTAGAAATGTCAAGAGATTTAACTTTAGTCCAATCACATTTTATGGTTGAGTTAGGTTCTATAGAGCTAGGAAAACAATCAATCAACGGTAGACAAATAGAATTACAATTTTCAACCAAAAAGTTTTCCAAATAGCTTATAGCATCAGGCGACAGTTCTCTGAGCTTTTTGAACATATTCTCGAGAACTTCTATCGGAACATAGCAAGGATCTAGTTGTTGCATCATCTGAGGAGGTATTGACAGTCCTCGTGGACCTCGAGTTGGATAGGATAATCGAATGATTGATCTCAATGTCCATCTAAAATACAGTAAATGAACTGCTTTAAGAACTGTAACAGGTGGACTAGCTACTTCCAATATTTTGATCAATTCCTTGAACAAGGTAAATTGCATTGTTATCGGCAATTGTTCTTCCAATGTGCCCAAATCAAATTCAATAAAAGCGCCAACTTTAACGGCTAACAATCTTAGAAGTTCACTACCACCAAGTGAGCCATTGAAAGAACCATCGATAGAGGCATTATTGAGAAAACTTATTATCAAGTCAACTGGTTTAGGATCATCTTTTTCACTTAAATGCTTCTCCAATAAACTTTGATGCAAAACAAATTCGAACCACAGAAAATTTGCCATTTAAGGTAAATAAAAATAATCACAAACAGGTATAATTTTCACTTGATTCATTCACTTCAAATAAGCTAAACAAAAATACTCAAATCACATGAATCATGTGACATGATTGTCGCAAAAAGAGCTGCTGCCATCTATGAAGAGGTTACAAATGTAATCTAGCAAATTTGGTAAAGATTTGATTATGAGATTGTATTTATAATACAAGGGAAATGAATTAATTGTTAAACCGAATCATTGAATGCATAATTTGTTAAATTTTATTGGTTGAACCAATTCCGTGTTTCTACATTTGTTTCTGGATTAATAAGATTACCCCAGAATATATAAATTCACCAATCAGGCAAAGTATGCCAATCGGAATCGTGAATAAGAAGCTCTTGAAGAAAAGCTTGTATTTGTCGATATCTAGTTTATTGAAATGATACAGGGCTGGTGTAGATCTTACGGAAATCTTATGTAAGCAGCCTTTATTTTGCTCAGGATCCAGAATCTTATCAGAATACTGTCTCCATTTAGATGGGAAATACAAATCGAGTTGACTTTCGAATCTTTTCTCATGTAATGCATTGATAATCTTGGTGGCATGAGGAGATAGATTTGAATTTAAAACAGAAAACATGAGATGAGTGGGCAATGCTTCAGTCGATTTATGCCACTGTGGCATAGGTGAATCTGGGTAGTTTGCACAATAGCAAAGTCGAGTGTGATCAGTCACTTGCGGAGTAATAATAAAAACGCATAATTTCAATTCCATCTCTTTCATTCTTAATTTATCGAAAAGGCTGTTTAAGTTTAAGAACTTTCCTCGTTTTAAAAGTTCCTGGTAAACTGGAGAAGAACCGCCATTATTCAGAGAAAAGCATACATCTGAAGACAACCAGATTGGAATCCTGTCAGAATTTGCCAAATCTTCCAATGAATCAATCGTTTTAATGGATACTTTGGATGTGAGATCAGTAGTAAATGAACACGAATAAAGTGCTGCCACAAAAAATACTGCAAATGTGATTACTAGATAAATAGATCGCAGAGTTTGGTGGTGAAAAAGAGCCTTTTGAGATGATCCTTGGCGTAAAACTGCACAAATCAAAGGCCAAATTATTGGTGGAGGAGAAATGGGTTTAATCTCATCAAATTTCAATTTGAAATGCCACAGAATGAAAGGAATGGAAAAAAGAGAGAGAAAAAGAGAAACTAAGAATATAATTACATCCAAAGGGAAAATTGAAAATGATCTGAGAATATCTTCATGAATTATTCCAATTTCGGGCAAAGTCGATACTATTTCACAAGACAAATCACTTGCTACTATTCCTGGTTTAAGTCCCGTAACTGAATCCGCAAGTGTTGCGAATGGATATGTGTCCATACCGAAGTCAGCTTCACCGCGTTGAACATGTCCAAGCAGGCCTGTACAATTAAAGGAATCACAGATTCCATTGGCGGGTGGATCAATCAAAACAACAGTGTAATTGATCGAATCATAGAATGCCAAATATTTGTTCAAGTAAAAAGCATATGAACCAGTGAATCTTTTCCTAATAGGATTGTAAACGGGTCCGAAATCGAGAAGTGCGATTTTGAAATGAAGATTTTGATTCATGACGATGTGTGACGACTTATCTGATTAGTTCAAGTTCACACTATGACACATAATCTTGTATGAAGATAATATTTAGATGAATCAAATGTTGTTCAAGTTTTGCTACAAATTCAAACATGAATCTTTATGAATCTAAAGTCAATAGAGTACGATTGTTACGATCGGAAGACAAAAAAGAGATGAAATTATTCATTTCTCAAACTGTTTTTCAATATTTGAATTGTAATTTCTGATGGAATGATAAAGGTCTTTTATTGACAATTGAATAATCATAAATTTAAAGCAAATATACAAATTCATAACCATAGCAAAAACTATTAAGGCTTGAATTGATTCTATCATTCTTTGGTAAATGTTGAAGTCTAATTGTTTTGATGTTCAAATGATGATAAGAAACAAAAGTCTTGCAATTATTCTGAGAAATATTGAAATCTAATTTTGATTTATAATCGCATTTAATGATGGACTTGTCTTTGAAATATGAAAAACTATCATTGTCATAAACTGGCACCAATTGAATTATTGATTAGATAGGGTTTGTGAGGATCACCCTTGGTCACTGTATAGTTTTTTATTGATAGATGGATAACACAAATGGAATGCTTTAGTTTTGTAGGAATAGACGTGAGCTGAAATTTATTATTGGTCAAGTAAACATTTGATCGCAAAATCTATGCAAATTGTATATCACATGAAGAGATAATTAAGCGGTGAAAAAATATTCATAAAATGTAGACAGTTTAAGTTCACAGTCGTATTTCTGTAAAATTAAAATCAAGCTTTGTTAGGATTAAAAAAATGTAACCTCGAAACTTGGTTTGCGTAATTGATTTGAATTTTGTTTCGGAACCCTTTGGATAAGAAAACATTTTTCTGATCAATAAACATTTTCTGAAAAAATCAAGATGACTTTTTCGCACCCCGTGTAGCTCTTTTACTTGTTGTCGCTGCTCTTTTAGATCTTCGTGGACAATTATCAGCTTCTTCGGTTGACTTTGTTGTTGATGAAGAGGTTGAAGTTGATGTAGATTCAGTTTCTTTGTTTTTTCTTGCATTTTTGGCACCTTTTCGGGATTTTAAGGCTGCTTTAGTCTTAGGTTCGGGATCTTTGACAACACTGATAGCATTTTCAACTATGTCTTTGTCTGTGTCTTCAATAACGTCTTCGATTGGTTTCATCTCGACATCGGGACTTTGTTTCTGCTGTTTAACTTCAACGGATTTCACGATAGGCGAATCTTTTCTCCTCTCAAATGTTGCTTTTTTAACTGTTTTGTCTGGAACTCGACGGGCCTCCGAAGAGAGTCGGAATACTTTTTCAATGGCAAACTCTCTTGAACGAGAAATTAGTTTCATTTGTTCTGATTTGGAATAGTTAAAGAAAATGTCATGAAAATCGGTTAAAGATTTCTCCAATTGTATCATCAATCGTCGATGGAAATCAATCTCTTCTTTAGCCACTTGTTCCTCACTCCGATAATTGTCCAACAGAATCGTTGTATCTTTAATTGTCTTGATAAGATCTTTGACTTTTGATGTCGTCATTATTCGTCTAGTTAGGTAACCCTTGACCAAAGCTGGAAGCTTTTGGATAGCTGGTTTATTAATCAGTTGATCTGCTCGCTTCTTTTTAAGTTCATCAAAGGCACTTAAAGATTTTCTAAATTCATACGAAAATGGTATTGCAACGGGTTCGCAATTTTCTGGTATCCCTGGGATAATTTGTGGTTCTGTATATGTACCATTGATATGCTGACACATTTCATCCAGTTTAGTTCCAATAGTATCTTCCAATTCATTCAATTGGTAAACTACCGACTGTACTTGCTGTTTCAAACTGAATAATCTTTTGGTCAAGTCTTGTTTCAGATCAATTAAGCCTTTCCAGCAGTCCGTATTTCTGTCATTTGTTATAGATTGATTGGCGTGATTGTTTATAATTTGCTCATGTCTCCAGGTTGAAGGTGAGCTAGTGGTCGATGAAGGGGGCAAGAGGGTCTGTACACTACTGAAAGATCCAGATGAGCATGAATTAGGCCTGGAGTCAGTCCTACTATTAAAACAACTGCTTGATTGCTGAATTGAAAATAATCTAGAGTTTTCACTTGGAGCTGTAGTTGTCAGTGAATTTTTAGATGGTAAGCTTATATTAGTTGAGTCTAGAGATGATCCTAAAGAGCCAGGTGATTGGCATGGCGTTGAATATAATGATGAATTGGTACTGAGATTTGTCTTGATTCCTGGAGGCAATGTCATAGCTTCTGATCTATTAATCATTTTCGGTAATAAACTTGAAAAATTACCAATGCAGGGATCAGCTTGAAAGACTTTATTTTAACCACTTTCAAATATTGATTCAACGCCAATACTTGCTACAGCGATTCTGTTATTTTAGCTTCTTGAGTTACTTGAAATAAGATTGATTCAAAAATTGTATCCTGCAATGAATAAAGAATATTGTAAAACAAAGTTAATGTCAAATCAAACTGGTTAGGGATAAGGATTGGTACAAACAAAAAGCAATCTTGTTACGCCAAAAAGTAGAGGGAATAGTATAGAGGTTTCAACTTACTCTTTCAAGATGACTTTAACATGATTAATTGAGAAGACACAATTAATTGATGGCACAGAACATTTATCTACATGAAGACTTCAACTTAACCACCATTTTTCAATTGATAGTAACTAAGGCAACAGCACTAACAACAATGTAAGATTTTTTGGACAATTAAACATCTTTCACTTTTGCAGCACAAAAAACTATCTCTTCAAAAACTTGTTTTGCTGCTCACCAGTTGACCAGAAATGTAAACAAAGTTTCTCTTGAATGGTGTCTTTCATATTTATCGCTATTAAGCCACCTGTTAATTATAATGAATAGTTATATTGAATTTGTTTAATTAATAAACATAATATTTTGGTTTTAAAACACAAGCCAACATATAATTTAAATAGTGAAAATGGAAACACGTTGTCAAGCTATACGTCCTTTAAGGAAAGATTGATTAGTTATTCCCAAGTTGGTCTATCGTTACTTTGTTTTCTGTTAATAATTGGCTTTTAATAGCTTCATGGTAAGTCATAATTAGTTGATTATCAAATAACTTAATTTATTTTGAAACTGTGTTTAAAGGGTAAAGCCGTGAAAAAAACAATAATTACAAGATGAGTTTGCAAGTTAACACTGTTTCAGCTACCTCAGTTTCAGTTACTGTAATATCTTAGCTACAACTTATCTTACACCTTTGAGTATTCATATCATGTTCCTAACATAATCAGCGCTTTAAATAATCCTAAGGCTATCTTGTAATAATGATCAAGGTAATGATCTGTCAAAAATGTAATTTATTTCTTTTTTATTTTTAACATTTAGATGATCCTTGTCAAGAGATATGGAAACGCGTCAATGAGTTTTACTTGAAGGGATGCAAATTCACTGTACTAATGACAGCTGATGCTCTTGATGTTACCATGTCGTTTCATGGATGGAACCTCAAAAACTTTAACAATTAAGGTTGAAACATAATTTAGTCCTGGAATAACTTATTTAGAAGAAAGTATCGCAACAAATATTGGAACTGGATTTTACTTTTGCTTATTATGAGGTCAACCATGAGTACCTTCTAATCATCAGACTTCATCAAGTTTGAAAATGCATCAGCGGACTTGGATCTTTTTTCAATTGAAATTAGCTGAAAGATTAATTTGCTTCCTAACATGAGTCGAAATGGTTGACTCTCACTATATTTAATGGAATACTCATTTACCATACTCATAGTGTTCGGTGATAGCGATAATCTTGAAGATGATCCCGATAGTGTGTACAAGCTCTTGGGCCGGCTCAAAATTTAGTTACAAACAATTAACTTCATAAATATTCGGATGCCATTGAACTAGCATAACTCCAATTGCCTGTTCTCCTATCAAAATAATGGAAAGCAAAATGGGAGAATGAAAAAGGTTTTGCAGTTGTATCTACTTTTACTCGTCAATAGTCGATAATCATCTAAAGCTTTTACATTGTTACTCTTCTGGTTATTGTTTAAACTAACCGCATACTGAACAACTGTTGATTATTTACAAAACAAGCATGATTAACCGTTTCGATCAATACATTTTCATCTTATCTCCATCTTTACCAGACACTCCTCATCTTCCTTGTCTCCCTTGTTTCTCTTCTCTATTGTCTCCCTCTTTCTTTTGATATCTATCTGGTCTGCTTCCCTCTCCTTTCCCTTTCCCACCTCCTTTTCTACATCAACATTATTTTGGTGGATTTTGCGGTGACCTTGGCCAGTGCCATATAACCTCATCTGGTATTTAATTCAGTAAATCACTCAGTCAATGGTTTTCGATGTAACTTAGTCCCTGCAATTGATTCTGTAACCACTATTGGGATGGCTAAACTATCGATTGACTGAAGGTGAAAATTCGGTTTCTTCTTACTGTTTTCGATGTTTATGTTTTGGAAATGGTTGTTTTTCCCATTTATACTGATTGATTGGTGATTAAATAGTGATTACACCTCTGGATGACAATGAATCAACTGTGGTGTGAAACTAAAGTATTGAAACAAACTCAACTTAATCGATTCCTATTCATCAGTTCTATTGGCGAGTTCACTGTTACCATCGAAAATATTATTAGGTGTTCATCAAAATCAATATCATGGCCGCTCATTTATTAATAAGAGCGATCTATGACTATCAAGCTTCTGATCTTAAAGTGTTACATTGTAAAGCTGGTGATCGATTCATCATAATCAAACAAACTGAACCTCGAGGTGATTGGCTGTATGTAGTTAACTGTCAAGGTAAACTTGGCTATATTCCAGCTAATTACACTGAACCAGACTCATTGGAGGACTCTAAACTTTTGGAGCTGATTGATACCATTATTTCGGTTCTGGATGCTGACCATAATGATCCAAAAATTATTACTATACGCCAAATCAACCATGCTCAAGTTAAATTAACTCAACTTCGATGTGAAGTGCTTAGCCAACTACAAAGCAAACCAGGAGCTGTTTCATCGAAAAAAATCACCACTAATCAGCCTAGTGATGCAAATTTTATTGAAGTGGTAAATACTAATGATCCTGATCCAAATTTGTATAAACTCGGAGAGAACGACAGTTCTGGTAATGTCCAGGAACATATTCTGGTCTATAATTGTGATTCAATTAATGTACAAAAACCAGTCATTAGCACATCTGAAGCTGGAATCCAAGTCGATTTGATTGAGCAAACAACCAATGATCCAACAATTTTAGTTCAAGGTGAAACTACTCTTGATGAAATGGCAACAATTGAAATTGATGATTCTTTGGCAGCTGATCTTATTGAAAGAGTCAGAGTTTCTACAGAATTAAGTCATGGAATGTGTAAATTGACTATCGAGACTGTGATAAATTACTTACGTGAAAAAATGCCTATGATTGAGAAAACTATGACAAAGCTGATTGATAAATTGGAGGCTGTTGACCAATGTCCATCACCCTTAGTTATGAAAAACTCATCTGATTTAATAAAATTGAGAGAGTTATTCCATAAACTATGGATCTGTAAAGCAGATGAACAACAAAGAGGTTGGCCTATTCATGATGATGAAGAGATGGAATCAAGCTTGATTGAGATGGTTAAATTATTGGCCAATGCTAATCCAACTATCAGTCGAGAAGCAATGTTCTCGAACAATTGTGATAATGTTTACATGGTCATTAGCTATTTTCATGAGGAGACGAAAAAATCTTTAAAAATGCAACTTTACTCTGTTCTTATGGAAATAATTCGTCTAAATGATAATATGATTGAAGATAATTTCTTATCGACTGTTTTACCGGCTTCCTTGGCCAATGAAATGATAAATCATCGTGACGATATTGAAAGATGGTCTAAAGCGTCGATATTATTTACCTACGTTTTTGGATCTGGACAAAAACCTCCTATTAATTTGTATGAACATGTTAACGAAAAATATGTCAACAGTCAATTGGATTTAATTGAAGGTGAAGATATTGAAGGAAACAAGTTGGAACATAAAATACCATTAGAAATGTGTATTCCTCCAATTTTGGCATTCAATCTACATTTCGATTTAAATGAGAGTAATCTGGTCCTGAAAGCTATCAGAATGAGGTCTAATGTCAAATGTTTGATGGAAAATCTAGTCTCTTACTTGAACTGGGAAGAAGATCCAACTCTTTTAATCAATTATTTTGGTAAACCTATGAAAACCTGTGATCGACCCAATGCTGTTCATAAATTGTTAACCGAGGTTTTTGAAGATCCTGAACTTGCGAATCTCTTTTATTACAACGACGTCAGAGTTATGATCGATATATTAATCTCACATCTCAATAATATTCAAGACGAAGATGAAAATCGTTTCTCTTACCTCAAATTACTCTATAATATAATCAAAAATACTAATTACAAAGAGGAGCCACATAAACTTATCGAAGTCAACCAATGTATAGATGCAATCTATTCCCATGAGTCAAGTCCTGATAATGAAAAACGAATGGTCAGGATGATCAAAGAATTGTTAGAATGGTCTGGTGCCTTTGGGTCCATGGAAGTGTTTAATTTAGTTTACTTGATAGCCCACCTGATATTTAATTGAAAAATAAATTCAATTGTATCAATAAACTATGAATTCAAGAATAAGAATCCGAAGTAAATTTTTAAAGGGAAGATTTCGATTTAAGAAAGCCGCACAAATAAAATAACTTGATAGGACATCTACTTTCATTTTTTCAATAGTTTTTCTTCGATTTAAACAGTTTTAAAAATAAATTGAATGAACTGTTCATTATAATAAAAGCTAATAAACTGAAATAAATTATAATAGCTTATTTGATCCAAACATACAAATCAACACTCACTTGTCAGTTTGTTTGTCAGCGACTTGCCCTCAAGATATGATTGTAACATTGATTATCAGAGAACAGCAGCCATAGATCGTACTTTCAGCAAATTGATAAATAAAGAATCAATAAGTAATTCAATTAGCAACTAATTTTGTGAGACAAAATGATTTGACTCTAAATTGATACAAGATATCGAGAATGTAAACTAATTTTTATTGCATTCATAGATGGCTCCATTGATCTAAACCGCGAAACTTATCATTTACAAATCAGCTGATAAAAAACAGCTTAAATTTAGTGTTGGCCGATCGAGCAATTTAAGTTTGATCGATTTTTCCGATCTGAAAAATTCAGTAGATCGATTTATCGATTGAAATCGATAAAGTCGATTTCTCGATTTAGGATTGTTATTGAACATTGCAGGTAAAAGATTTTCAAATCTGGCGCCAATTTTCTGAAGCGTCTCAAACCCACTTTGAGTCCTTAAATCTATCATTGACTAACACATTGTTAGTTAAATTTAGCCTTAAATGATCCAAACTGGCGATTCTGAGTGAGTGATTTGTCAAATTAATAAAAAAAACAAATTTGGAACAAGTTTTTGCACCGAGAAAATATCCTGAACTAAATCGATCTCTTCATTTTCTTGATCGATCTGAAATAGAGTAGCCGATTCTCGATTTAAATCGATTTTCGATTGATCAAAACCCAACACTACTTAAATTTTAAAGATGACCAAATTTCATTTAAATAATTTCAAATGATGACTATGATGACCTTTGTGTTATGATTTTATTTACTTTCATCTAGTCTAAACGTTTTTCTAATTCCATTCATCAAATTAATCGTCAAAGAGTAAGGAAGAACCTTACTCTTGGTTTCTATCCAACATCAATTTTATGAGTGTTCATCTTTAAACTACTCTGTTCTCATTTGTATTTCTTTTTAACCATCTTTAGTGATCTTATATTTTCAAATTTTCTTCTCGTATCTCAAACACGATGAATTTTCAACATTATATCTATTTGGTCAGTGAACATATCAACAATAAACGTGGTGTTCCCTTGTCTCGCCTATTAACCTATCAAGACACCGATCATGCTACCAATGAAGCAATTATGAACGAGGTGAATCAAAATTATGTCAACAACCATGTTCATCCAAATTGGTCACAAATTATTTTTGGTCATATCCATTGTTGTTTTCTTCTGGCTAATGGGGACTATATTTATGCTTATAAAGAACAGGCTAACTGCGTCGGTATGTTAAGTAAAGCATTGGCCACCATGAAAGAAGAAAATTGGATGGTTCCAGTTATTTGTGTAATGGCTCGTGATTTAAGGTTATTAGCAATTGCTGCTGACATTCAAAATGGTCATAAAAATTCTGGAAAATCAAGAGATGGGCTTTACATTCCTAACGAGTATTTGGAAAAGGCAGCTGAGCCTCTGATGTCAATGTTTCGAGCTGTTGCCAATGATTGCAGAACTACTATGGAAAAGTCAAAAAGAATAGCCATGATGAATCTTGTTAATCAATTATTCAAGATTTACTTTCGTGTGAATAAACTGCATTTATGTAAGCCATTGATCCGAGCTTTGGATAATGCCAATATCATGACGTACTTCACCAAAGCCCAAAAAGTTACCTACTTTTATTATCTTGGCATGAAGCACATGTTCGATTCTGACTACAAAAATGCTGATAAAATGTTATCATTTTCATTTGCAAATTGTCATTCCAGTTCTCGCAAGAACAAAAGACTCGTCTTAATTTTTCTGATACCCGTAAAAATGCTTTTAGGTGTCATGCCAACACAAAAACTACTGGAGAAATACAACCTTATGCCATTCGCACCAGTAACCCAAGCTGTTAAAGAAGGTAACTTAAATGCTCTGGATAATGCTCTGGAAACATACTCTGACTTTTTCTGGAAATATGGCATTTATCTTATCTTAGATAAACTAAAGATTATTGCTTATAGGAATGTTTTCAAGAAAGTTTGCCTTATACTCAAAACTCATCAAGTCCCTATTGAATCCTTTCGACATGTTCTTCAATTTTTAAGAAATGAAAACGTTTCTATTGAAGAGGTTAATTGTATTTTGGCTAACCTTATTTATGAAGGTAAAATTAAGGGATATATTTCCCTGGCTCATCAAAAACTAGTAATTTCCAAGCAAAATCCTTTCCCGCCTTTAACTCAATTGTCATAAGAGAAATGATCAACTTTGCCGAGTAATAAAGAACCACAATTTTAAAAAACTACAGCTGCCAGTGATTTATTTTTATCTTCAATTATCAATTTATCACAAACATATTGGTGCTGGATTATTATCGAAGATAAGATTAAATGCTTGACAGATGTCAACAATCAAAAAAAATATTCGATACAATTAAAGGATATCTTCGTCTCTCAAATACTCTCCGATATCTGCTTGATGGAAACAAACTATTGTCATTGGATCGGCTCTTCTGCAATCACTGGTTGACTTGGCTGTTGTCCCGAAACCCTAAAAAGAAGAAAAAATTTGATCGGTAATGAGGATACTGACTATTATAAAAATGAAAAAATATGAGTACAAAATACACAAAATGTACTTACCAAAGGTACTTCAGACATTGAAAAAACTACAACTCCTTGATATTGAGGTGTGTTTTCTGTTATTCTGCCTAGTCCTGACTTTAAAACATGATTACCATAAAGGAATGATTGTTCAGCGGAAGGTTTTAGCCATACTTTGAACTAAAGATGGAGAGAAGAGAAATATATTGTCATAACTCAAGTAATTCGTTGGTTTACAAAAATAAACTTACCTTAGCATAAGGTGCCAAATAATCCAAAGCAGTTATTGTAAGACGAAATTTTTGACTCGATGTGAATTTACCAAAACAAGATCCGAAAGATATTAAATTTTCACGACTTATACTTGCAGCCTTTTTCATCAACTTTTCCGAACAATAATAAACTCTATTTTTATGTAATCGAAAACAATAGGTATCATCAGATCGGTTAATCAATAAACTAGTGTTTTCACCAATATACTTGACAAGTTTACCGAAAACTTGTTTCATCTCTTCGTCTGTTAAAGGTCTCATTTTTGAACAAACACTAAATTAAATGGTAATAATAAATAAATGAAAAAAAACACTGCGTGGAAATTTAAATCTGATTTTGATTCAGAAGCAAAGTGCAAGCACAAACCACATGGCACAAACATAAACATATCGATAATTTCGATATATCGAGATATTATTGGTGATAAAACCAATGTAATTTACCAATTCAAAAATACCAATGTAATTGTTCAATATAACCCAAAAATAGAAAAATTTCACAAACAAATTTGGTTCTTTTATTGAAAGAATGAAAATTAATCGATTTTAACGGTAAACAATGATTTAACAACAATTAGTTAACATAAAAATTGTCTTTAAAATCCTTTAGCCAAGGATATTAAACTTGGTCAGTTGTGGTCAGTTGCCATGACAGGATGCCAGTTGCCATTTATAACAATCCAAATTCTTCTTCTATTAACAGAAACGCTCTTCGATCATTTTTCAGTGACAGTGTTAATAGTGACATGGAGTTAAATGAAGGACAAAGGAAACATTTAGAAGATGAAGTTGCCCAGGAAAAGGACAGATATCTTCGAATGGATGTACAGTCGAAACGAAAATTTTATTCATGTGGCAATAAATATGTAGATCTTTCCAGTATCACATCCTGGACATTATATGCTCTTGCTAACCATATTGCTGGGGAATCGAATGGTCCATGGCAATACAACGAAACTATCAACAATAAGTATGTAATCATTAACAAATTTATCAATTTTTAGACTCTGAGCTAGCAGCAAGTCGCATCCTTGACCTGTGTTCTAATGTTTACTTGAGTTTATGCTTTCTATCTTCAGAGTTTCCTTATTCATCGGAGATATTACAAATCTTGAAATCGACTGTATTGTTAATGCTGCCAATAAAAAGTTAGCTGGTGGAGGTGGTGTTGATGGGGCTATCCACAAAGCAGCTGGTATGGAATCATTAAAAAAAGCTTGTAAATTACTTGGTGGCTGTGAAACTGGTGATGCTAAAATCACTGGAGGATACAAATTGCCAGCTAGATGTAAGATATCAGCGCTAAGTGATTGTGTTTTTTATCGAATCTTTGAATCTAAAAATTTGATATTTATCTACATAATCACAGCTGTGTCTATTGAGTCTATTTTAATTTATTGAATACGATCTATCTCGTTTTTATTAACAGATATAATTCATACTGTTGGACCGGTTGGTGAAAAGCCCGACTTACTGAAGAGTTGTTATACTAAATGTTTAGACCTAATGAAAAGTCACAACTTAAAAAGCATTGCGTTTCCCTGTATTTCAACCGGAGTTTACCGCTATCCAAATGAGCACGCAGCTCAAGTTGCCTGTAGTTCGGTTAGAGAATGGCTTGATCGGGAACCTGAATATGTTAAAACAATAGACCGAGTCATCTTCTGTCTGTTTATGGAGGTTGATATCAAAGCTTATAAAAATACGATGGCCACTTACTTTCCAACATGCGATAAAATTTCAAATAACTAATGAAAACTTGTGTTGCCTAAATGCCGCTGTTCCTAAAATAAATCAATTGTAAATCATCTTTCCTCTCTTGATAATGCATCAGTAAATTTAAATTTTTATAAAAACAAAATTGTCAAAAACAATTTAATGTTCACAATTAGCCGAGGCTCTGTGAGGAGGAAAAACGTGTTTAATCAGATCAAAGTTGAATGCGAATTTAACAGATATGTTACTGGTGAAATTATTCTTTGATCACGAGTTTCAAATTAATGTATTCAACCGACGTGTTGAATTTAAACGTACATAATAAATTATAGTTCAACTAACTTAGTTAAAATAGAATAAATTACAATTTTGTTTGATTGAAGGTTCCTTTTTTTGTATCTGCCCTTGGTAGCGTTAAAAGTGATCTTGTAGACAAAGAACAACTTGAATCGTTCTTTGCATGAAATAATGGTCCACTTTAAAATCTAAGGATTTTCTCTCTCATTAAGGTAGTGAGAAATAAACAGGAAGAATTCACAATTGAAATTCATAAAATAATTATGATCTATTTTCTTTGGTTCACTTGGCTTGGAGGTTTTTTGTTTTATAAGATAAATTTTCTTTTGATCAAATTGATTGCCAGTAGAGTTTCCTTAATTGAATTTAGTTATGAATCTTTCAATCCATTGACCATCAATGGATTCAGCTTGTTCATATTAGATCAATGTCTGTTCAGGTAATTGAATCAAGACATGGACAAAATCATTTTCAAACAAATTTCATCATGAACAAGTTGATAAGTGATTGAAAGAGTTTAGAATCTCTTCGATTCTTTCCTTAAGAACGGTTAATTCCATTGTCTTCTTTTCAAGTAGATTTACAAGCCTTTTGATCTCCTTTCGCAACTCTATTTGCTTTAATTGCACTTGATTAAAATCACTATGGAAACAAATAGAGAAAAGATTTAATATTAGAGAAAAAAAATTAATAATGAAATTGTTTCAATGAAGCTTTACTTACTTGGCTTCTGTGTTTTGTTGAAGTGTTAATAACTCACTGTGTACTTGCTCGACTCGATAAAGGAAAATCAAAGCAGATAAGAAAAGCATAACTAGAAGAGTTGTCGTCATTAAAAGTAAACGCGTCGTATCTGTTATTTGATTCCTGAAAAGAAAAACAATTATTAGTATCAAAATTATCATTGTTTGAAATTGATTAAAATCACCATAAGAGTTGTTGGCAAGGTTGGATAAAAGTGATTAGCCAATTTTTAGTTTTGATAATCAATCTTGATCCATATGATTTTTGTGGTTTGCTTTTCGCTTCATTGATTAAATTTTTACTCGAGTCTTGGAAGATTGCTGATGTATCACGGTTAGCCTCAGAATCTGATCCACTGGAATCGGTTTCTTGATGAGTTGATGACAGTATTTGTTGTATGGAGGGGATCTCAGAAGAGACTAATTTAATTGCTTCAGGAAGCGCAGGTTTTATCTTTGCAAAAATCAAAGATGATTGATTGTTATTTGTTAATGATTCTTCTGTCATTGATGCGGCTGATTCAGCTTCTTCTATGTCTTCTTCTCTTTCACCATTTTCGGGTTTCTCAATTAAAATGTCTGATTCACATTGAATAATCTTGTCTAGTTGCATGACCGGAGAAAAGTAGGGCAAAGAGACGACTTGAATCAACGTCGATTTCCATACTTCTTGCATTAGTCTGAAAGTCGATTCTCGGGATAAAAGCGATCCAAAGACATACTGAAAAAAAAGAAACAGAAATAATTTAGAAACAATTTTAGAAACAAAAATTTATCAAATTAAAATGCTGTTCTATTTATTACTGAATCTCATCACAAGCGAAGAGCAATCTCTGATCGAGTCATCAGAATTTAAATGTCTGATCCTAATAATGATATACATGTAAACTAAATATTGACCATCACATGCATTAAATATAGACTTTGAAAGCTATGAGGTAGTAAGCTTATTAATAATTGATTGTTATATGTGAGCAAAGGTAAATTAATTGGGAATTTACTAAAAATGACAGTCTTCTGACATTTTGATATTATTTAGCATATCAAGTATTTATAAATATGAGTATCTATTGAAACATAATGGCGTCACCTTGAAAGCTTCACATTCCTTCGAATAAATTCATTATTGAATTTTCCTACAGAGGCGGTTGTTGATTTTGTGTAATTAAATAGTCAACGTTAACCAGTGAATTGCTGTGGTTTCGAAATATAACTTCCAGGTCCGTTAAGTAAAATATCTCTAATAAACACCATTGGATAGACAAAAAGTGCAAGCTTGTTTGGTTAACTCAGATCTCGATGCATTTGATTTTATGCAATTTTTATCATGCAAATGATTTTTTTATAACTAATGAAAGAAATTTCTGTTTCTAAAAATAATTTTGACCAACTTTGAAACATTGGCCATTTTGCTCATGTTAGTCAATGGGGTAATTTATCAACTTTGAATGGGAATATCCCGAGAATACATTTATAGAGATATTGATTGATATAAAAATTGCATAAACCAAACGCATCGAGGTCTAAAGCTAGAAATTTTAAAAGTTTAACCAAACAAAATTTGTACCTTTTCTCTATCAAATGGTGTTGATTTGAGATATTTTACTTAACGGGCTTGAAAGTGGAAATGTTTCATTTTGACAGTCAGTATACATGAAATAAATACTCAGCTAAACTATGAGCTTATTATTGCTTAAATGACAACAAAAGGGAGAGAGGCAATGAGTGAAAAAGGAAACGAATCAAATGAATTCAGGATTGAATCTTAAATTAACCAGAATTAGAAGGCTATACATAACATTCTCATTGGATATGAAGCATGTAATTATGTCAATTAAATACAATAGCATGTTCACCATGATCTGTAATCAGCACCCAACCATTAATTGATAAAACTAACCCTCTTGATTGTGACCTGAACAACAAGGTTACAATGAGCTGAGGGTAAGCTACTCCGAATTGTTATCAAACACACATCAAGGAAAATCTTCAGACGGTGACAATTGCCACACTAAAGGATGCTTCTTGAAAGTACAAAATGTATTTATACGCAGTGTTGATCCAAGATAAGCATGATTTACACTTGACATGATTCTTTTTGTTGTTTAAAAGCTATTAGAAGTAAATGAGCCCAAACTGAAGTCAATACAATCAGTTTACCTTGGTTTGATCTGTGCAGATACCCACTGCATTTGGGAATATTTTGGCAGTTTTTTCCTTGGTCACTGAGATCACATCACACATAGGAATCAATAACTAGAAAAGAAAAAAAAATTCATTAGATTAATTGGTACAAACTAAATCACTCATATGGTTAAGATCAATGGAAGCCAAAAAAGAGCTTATAACTTACTTGAGTTTTATAACCAAGAATATTAGAGTAGAATGCGAAATAGTTTTCACTTATATAAAGATAACCTTGTAACAATATATCCGCTACCAATGCACAAGAATACCCTAGAAAGCAAAAGCAAATTAATTAATATAAATGCAAGTATAAAATAGTAACATTATTTAGTAAGGAACGAGAAAAACTGCACAAATAAAAATATTGACTTACAATCGATAAGCTTTTCATGTTGATCGACGGCAGGGAACCTTCTGTGGAAGCGCCTTTGGTGACTACGACTATATTGTCGAAGTGGATGACCATCTGAGTTAACAATTGTAGGTGAAGATGAGATAGAATATATTTGAGAATTACTAACAGGAGATGAGATGGATGAAGATGGAGATGTAGAAGCTATTGTTGGTGTTAATGTTGATGAAGTTGTACTGGCCATTGATATTTGATTGGAAACCAATGAAGTATGTGATGATGAAAATGAGTCGTTTAATTTGGAAGATGATGATTTTTTTTGTTCAGATCCTTTGTTTGCTTTGAAAGATGTTTTCTCTTTACCTGGTCCATCTTTGTTGTTAAAATTAGCCAGTGAGGTAACCGATGGAACTGATGGAAATGAGTATGAGGAAGATAATCCATAACTTTTTGTAGATGCAGAGCCAATTCTCATTTTATCAAAAACATATTCTTCAGAATCAAAAATATCGACATCGGTTATCGATGAACTAGTGGTATTGGTGTTTACCATGGTAGATGTTGAGGCTACTACTGAAGTAGATGAGGCAGATGTTGTTGTCAATGAAAAAGATGAACTTGGCGGTGATGTTGTTGCAGTAGATGATGATGGAGATGAAATTTGATTTGTTGGCACCATGATGATACAATTGTTACCTTTTGTTTTCTTGTGTTGATCTCAAAAGGGTTTTTTGAAGCAATTTTTTAACATTAAGCCAGACATTAAGCTTTGAGTTGACCTCAAATGATGATGTCACACACAAAAAGGATCACATAGTAACTCTATACATGTAAGTACTTTCATTGTCTCAAGAGTAACATTAAAAGACAATTATTTGAACAATTAGTTTTTATACTGTTGATAAAGAAACATGATTATAAGTGAGAGAAAAAAAAACAATCAAACAAACTCCTCTTTGAATGCACCCATAACTAAGGATAAGAGTTTCCAATGAATCAGGCTGACTCAGAGTGTACTTGCAAATACAGCTGATGTAATGAGCAGTGAAACCAAGTGAGATGTAGTTATGAGAAGGGAAAAAGTGAGTACTTTTATGAAAGAAAAAGAGTCAAAGTAAAAAATCACGTGAAGCTGAACGTTGAATGTAAAAGTTACCAAATTGATATTTTAAGTTGCATGTTTTAATTAAACATAAGACAAAAACTTTGGTTTTAAATTTGGATAGTAAACAAGGTATGGATGTTAATTGAATCAGTTGAGAGATCGTTTATGATAAACATTTTTCTGAAAATATGAAAGGAAAGAATTTTTTGTACAACTTTTAAGCCAGAATTTAATTATGCATCAGATGATTTAACAACCTTCGGTGTTTTACTTGGTGAACTAGTGACATGGGTCAATCCTTTGGATGCATTAACACGTCTTTTCATTCCTTGTTTCATATTACTTATAGCTTTCTTTTTTAAATTTTCCGATAAGCTATTGAGTTCTTCACTGAATGTCCTGATGGTTCTCTTTAGTGTTTCGATATCTTCCTCGTCCCATTTATCTCTGTTGAGTAGAAAGAAAAATATCACATCAAGATTAGTTTTGGATTTCCTTTATTAAAGTAAATAGTTGATAGAGCTTCGATAAAATATCGAACTGATGCTTAGGTAAGAGCTTATACACTTTGTTAGCTAACAAAATTTATCAGTAGACAGCTTATCAAACCAAGGTATGTTAACATATGGGTTAATGCAGCAATTGTGAGAGTAAAAACAATGAATATATAGACAGAGAGGCAAAGGAGAAATAAATTAATTGAAGGAAAATAAACACTTACACAGAAAGATCTTCCTCTTGTTTATCAAATGAACTAGTTAACTCGCCCAATTTGATAAACGCTTGTCCAGCAAACTTGAATATTTCCGCAACTTTATCTCCTGCTGTTAATGACATTTTTGTACACAATAAATTACAATTATAATGATAAATAAAACCAGAAAATAGAATACCAAAAATTACGAGAAAAATCAAAGCTAAGATTTTAAAAGTAGCATCTACAAAGCAAAACCAATCACATTGAAGCAACACTTGCAAGCAGCCAGTCAACATTGAAGGCGCTCCATTCAAATTTCTATGCTAACAAATAAAAACTAAATTTTCTTACAAAATTAACCATTAAACAATCAGAGAAAATTGAAACAATGAGCATAAAAAGAATGGATCAGTTCAAGTTGTGAATGGAATGACCCACAGAATTGGAAAGAAACAAAATAACCAATGTTTTCATCAATGTACGTTTCAAAATTAACAAAAGCAACATCAATAAATAGCTTCCAAGTCCCTTGAATGTTTCAAATTATCTGTGAAAATAGTTTCATACAAAAGATACAAATACAGATACAAATAAAGGAGAGTTGACGTTTCTTAAAGTCTATTTTGATTAACGAAGTTGATAAATTATTATTTACTAATGCTAATATCTGTGCCCGGTTAGCTCAGTCGGTAGAGCGTTAGGCTTTTAACCTAACGGCCCAGGGTTCGAGCCCCTGACCGGGCGACACACACTTTTTGTCGTTTTTGCCTGTGAAATGAATCAAACATTTGCTTCATCAAAATGTCAATGTGATTAAATTGTGTTCAAACTATGACAAGTAATGAAAGCAATAATTTTGATCTCAACATTTAAAATGTAATATTTTTTTCTTTTACTGCCATCTATTGGGTAATATTAATTTCATTATGTGTCGACCTGTCGTTTAAATAGATTTATAGAGCATTTTTGTACAAGGATTGTCGTCGAAATGACATTTTACCTTTAAGTTATCCTAATGAACTTGTTAGCTGTGGTCATTTTTTTCAATTTGGTTAGCTTTTGATTGTCTAATTAGTAAAATTTTTCGGTTAATTTTCTTTATTCAAGTGTAATAATAGCTTCTTTTGATGTCTATTTTGCGAGCAAAGTCAAGTATGTGAGTGAAGAGAGAAACTTGCTTAGCTTGCGCGTTTCATTGAATAATTTTGTTTAATTCTAGCTGCGTTAGCTTGTTAGCTTAGGTGATTATAAAATGTTTAATTTAACTTTTTTATTTTCTTTCATTTAATTGTGTGTCTATTTCATTTTACCTTTAACCCAGTGTAGTAAAATTTAATTCCGTTTAACCTAGTGTAAATTTATTATTATACATATTATATAAATATATATTGATAAAAAAAAATGTTACTCTGTGGAGGTGATGTTTTAACTGAAAGACAGTTACATCGGTTAAATGAGCATAAATACAGGTCTGCAGGTAATACACTGTTGGATCCTGTGATGCAAAAATTTTGGAATTGGTTCACAAAAAGATTGCCCCTTTGGTTGGCACCAAATCTTATGACTCTTGTTGGTTTATGTGTTAACGCTTTAACAACCGTTGTATTAATACTATATTCACCTGATGGTAAACAACCTGTAAGTTGTTTTTCTCTTGCTCTTCTATTTAGTCATCTTTCTTTAAACAGCTCTAAATATCATGTGTTCTGTGCTATTATAGAGGTGTTTTTTTCAATCTAGATACATTTATAACCTCATTAAAATGTTTTTCTCTCGTTTTCTATTTTTCAGATACCTGGCTGGGCTCTAATATTTTTTGCAATTGGACTATTTATTTACCAAACATTAGATGCAACTGACGGTAAACAAGCGCGTCGTACTGGCACAAGCTCACCTTTGGGTGAATTATTTGACCACGGCTGTGATTCAATTTCAACTGTCCTTGCTTCAATTGCTACATGTTTAACCTTTCAACTGGGCTATTATCCAGGATGGATGTTTTATCAATGCATTGCTGCATCCTTTTTATTTTATCTTGCTCATTGGCAAACATATGTTTCTGCGACTTTAAAATTTGGAAGATTTGACGTTACTGAAGTTCAATTTTCAATTATGTTCTTTAATATTTTGACTGCTTGCACAAGCCAAGACTTTTGGGCATCCACAGTAAGTAATACTCTTTTCTAAGTGTTTCAGATAAATTCATTTCTGCTACTATTAATTGGAAATATATTACATGTTAACATTTTTATTGAGTCTTAACATTAGCTTAACATTTACATTCAAGGGCAATACTGTATAGTTATGGCTTCATACAATATTCGTCTTTTTAAGTTATTTGATTGGTTTTCTTAGTTTCTTACAAATCTGTCAACTTTAATGCAGAATTTTATTGCAACCACTTCAATAATTAAGCCTACGTCATTCAATGTCAACTCTTATTTCTTTCCTAACCATCATTTGGTTCTTCTCCCTTTCTTTTTTTCTGTTAAGGTACCTGGTTTGAACATGGAGCTAAAAATACTACCAGCAATTGCTATAGCCATTGCCCATGCAATTGTTGCTTTCAATAATTTTTCTGTAATCTTAGCTGGTGGAGTAGGAAAAAATGGATCAACTGTTGCGGTAAGTTGAATCTAAGGTGACAGTTAATTGGCATTTCTCTTGAAAACCAGATATCCTTACTTTCTTTTTTATTTGTTTCTACACTTAATTTAATTTCTGTTCTCCTTTTCCTGTTTTATTGAAATTTTCAGGGAACCAGCGTTCTATCACCTTGTATACCTATCGCAATTGTGATTGTACCTGCCTTCATAATCTATCAGAAATCATCGCCTCATCTTTTTGAAGAACATCCATGTCTTTATCTAATTACTTTTGGTCTTATCATTGCTAAAGTAACCAACAGACTTGTGGTATGAACATCTTACAATGTTATTGGCACTAACCACGTGTGTTGCCGTCACTATTACAATCTTCTGATTTTTCAATATCTCTTTAATGACAGGTTGCTCATATGACGAAAAGTGAAATGGATTATTTAGATACCGTTCTAATTGGTCCAGCAATGCTTTTCCTGAATCAATATTTTAATAATTTTCTTCCTGAATATTTTGTCCTTTGGCTGGCATTGGTACGTTCACAGAGTTTAACAAAATCAAATTTTACAAAATTCTCATAAACTTTGTCTTTTTTCCCTTTAGATTTATACTTTGGCTGATCTCATACATTATGCTGTAGTAATTTGTCGACAAATTTCTAGCTACCTCCACATAAACGTTCTGACGATCGCACCAAACTCTCCATCCTGGAATGCCCAGAAAAGTGATAAGCATAACAAAGGCTCATTAAATGGTAGGGATAAAAAATATAATCTACGACAAGGGCGGCATCAGTGAGAAGAGATTTTAACAAATAAAAAGATGATCGTTAAGAAGATGAAAAAATTCAGTTCTGAAAAAGTAAAGAAATAAGATGAAGTCGGAATAGGATTCAAAACAAAAACCATTTGAATAGGATTTTTTTGTAATGCCTTCAACCCAATCTAAGTCATTGTCATATTTAATTTTCTCCTTTCATTTAATTTGCATTAAGATTAAATAAGATTCAGAAAAGAGATTGAAAATTACTATACACACACCACATTTACGATTTTTTGTTTCCTCTTTTTTTGTTGACTATTCAGAAATCCTATTCAAAATGCTTAGCTATTTATAAATTCAATTTCAATTTTAACATTCTTCCATCGACATTAATCAATCACTTGATATGTCTCTTTGTATGTGTGTTTATCAGAAAAAAAAGGGTTTAATTAACATTAACAGACTTCAATTTCTTTGCTTTTCCTGTTATTCTGTCAAACGTTTTTGTCAAACTCAACAGAAAAAAAATACAAACAAAACACACCATTTTGTTAACCAAATTGATAATCAAATAATAGGCAACTACAAAAAAATCAACTATCAAATTCGTCTGCTTATTTCTCGCTTCAATCCTATTAATATTCAACCATTTGTTCGCCAATTCCTTACAAATCGACGTAAACCCAGCAAAAGAGCAAAATACCAACATTCAATCTGAATAATCCATGTTTGTTAATGCAAAAAAGTATGATATAAATCTATGGTATTAAAAACTAATAAAAAGGCTAAAAATATCAAAAACAAATCAACCTAATAAACAACTGCCATATAGACGCGTATAGTGTAGCCTATTTTCACCTTCAATTGAAACGGATTTTAGAAACACTCATTCGTGAATCGATAGTGAAAAAAAAACTGCTTAAATGTGGAGATTGAAAGTGCCACATACGCGTCCATACGGTTATTGTATTGATTGTTTTCACAATTTAACAAATTCAGTCGACTCTTTTTTTGTTGCTTTTTCAATCTTGTTTTTTGCCTCCTTTTTCATCTTCATTATCTCATAATGAATATTGATTACTTTTGCTACTATTAGCACTTTTTGTTTGTATCACAGTTTGTTGTAAGTCAGGAATATTCTGTTTCTTTTTCAGAGCAAAGCTCAGGAGATTCCGCATCAGTGTTAATACCTCTTTTTGAGAATTATCTCGTGGAGGATGAAGATGATGATGATAATGTTATTATTGATCAAGATAAACGAGTTGGTGAGCAAGATGATGATGATTTGAATGCACCCAACGAACGGTCAAATCAACTGTATCCATGATCTTCAGCCAAATGCTTATTGCCTACTAAATTAGCAAGCAGCTGATTGTAAAATTGTAAATTGTTAATAATAAGTGTTCAATTCAATCCTATTTATATAAATTGATCTGCTGTTTTTGCTTGACCAACCAAGAACACATCTACGCTCCCACTCAAACATCACAATTTAAAGTTGAATTACGAGCCAAGCAAGAAGTTAACTAGGAGAGATGAGAAATTAATTCAATTGAAATACAACAACCAATGTGATTATAATCAAGGAATCGCCATCTAGAGTTGGCTTTTTTGTTAATCTGTTTCTCCGCCATTTACAGTAGTCAACGTAAATCGATCACCATTATAAATATCAACTTATCCTTCAATCTTCAATCTTCGCAACCAACATCTTCACCTCTTTGTAAATACTCTTGTGAATCACCTTTTGATTCATTATCATCTTTTCATCTATTTTTTGGAGTCTTCACATTATTACAAGTTGAAGAGGACATTTCTAGAAGTTAGAAGATTATCAAATTATCATGATGATCTATAGAGATGATTTTTCAATCGTGATAATGAACTTATACCTTTAATGCCTATTTTCATTATTAACCCAAAAGTAGTGTGATATTAACTTTCTTTTTTTTTGATTAGCAGCAAAATTTTTGTTACTAATTTAATTTTGTTTTTAATGCAAATAAGATCTGAATTTATAACAAACAAAAAAATTCAACCTTAACTCATATTTTCGAATCTCTTTCAATTTTATATTGACTTTGAATTCTGTTGTATAAATGAATAACCGCTGTGTAAGGCCTTGTGTAAGCCAAGCCAGCTTTAAATCAAAGTATTTCATGTCAGCTTATTAAAGATTAATCTATTTGATTATTTGAGTGAAGAAAAGACAAGTTAACTAATAAGATTGTCAACAATCAAATTTAATCATTGCAAGGTTCTTGAAATGACGATGGCGATCATATAATAATTGTAAACAAGCTGGTGATGTAATTTTAATAGGTTTTACTTTGATGGTGAAGCAAGGGAACCCTTTTCACAATTGTTAGCACTTTCATTTCACCAGGCAAACCAAATTAATTGATTTCAATCAGCTTTTGTCATTGATCATCATTTTCAGTGTATATTACTTTTTACATGTAAACACATTCTTGAGATTTAGTGCTTTATCATGTTATAGCCAGCACTATCTGATATTTATCATTTGAGTTGAAGATAATCGCCAAGTTTTTGCTGTCAGAAGATCAAACGTAATCAGAAGGATTGCGAATTAGTATCAATTTTTTATTACTAAAGGTAAGTACAAATGTGAGACCATTTCAAGTGAATTAAAGCAATTGTTATTTGAGTTTATTAAGGCAATAAGCTAAATCTGGATTGTAAAAAAATAACATTTCGTGGATATTGGAAAAATCATGGAATCAAAAATTACAGATGAAATGTACAGAGTTGGTTGTAACTGTAATTCCTCATTCTCAGCTATTTCATTCCTCTAGATTGAGTTTATATTGCAATTTGGGTTAAAATGACAGTCAACCCTCTCAAAGTTAGACGTTTCTAAGGCAATAGTCCAGACAAAATTGCCAGTATCGAAGCTGATGAATTAGTCTTCGGCTAAAATACTTGACAGCAAAATGGGACTTTAGTTATTCTCATGAAGTCTAACTTAGAGAGGGTTGACTGTGATTGTGACGAAAGTATGAAAAAAAATTTAACAGCTGTGAACTAAGAACATGTTGATCATTTACAATTTGTATATTGCTAGTAATGGATTGACCGAGTCTTATGGTATGTTATACATTCATCAATTTCATCTGGTCTGCTTCGTCTAAGATCCCATAGGTAGAAGTCAACTATTACTGAAGTGGCTGGAATGGGCAACGTAACATTATTTATTTCGGCTAGACGGACAACTCCATTTTTAATTTGTTCAACGGCATGAATGGATACACCTCTGATTTCAACTTCATCTGGATCACCATATTTAAATTTTTCTCCTGCCGACAATCTTCTGAGTAACTCATCTCTGTAATTGATCACGCCTAAATAGTATAAACACTGAGGAACTCTGAAAAAAGTGAACGCAAAATATTAATCAAAGGTCAGATAACTATTAATAGCAGGTTGGTCTTTAATTACTCACCTGTAATCAGCAAACATTGTAATATCTTGAATGTCATCAAATTTGCCCAAACCTTTACCTTCATGGCAAGCATAAATATCACCAATCAAAAGTTGAGCTCGTTTGTAAAAACCAACTGAAAAAAAGGAAAAAAATAGGTTTATAATTGGACTCTTAGCAACAATTAAACAATAAATTTTATCTTTTTCCTTGAAATTTAATATAGATTAAGTAATCTTGGATTCAATGCCGAATAAAAAGGATTAAAACAATATAGTAAAGATTAATAAAAGCTAGCTTAGTTCTGTTCAGTTCAGCTGATAAATATTGTGACAGTTAAATCTTAATAGTATGCCAGCACAAATACTCGAGATTAGGTAAGTGAAGCGATTGAACGATGAAAAATACTTACTGGACTCTCCATTGTAAAGAAGTTCGTCCCTAAACGAAGGAAAATATTCATGCACCATTTTGAGCAAGGTTTTAGCACTATTTTTGGCTTTTATAACCATGGAAACAAAAGTATTACTGAATTTCTAGATGAATGGAATTTAAAAGATTAGATTTGATTGTTTAAATTAGATGAATGGGGTACTAATAGAGGTGAAAAGGTAGCTTTCAAATTACCTTAACTAAAACTGAGCCATTCTCTCTCATTATGGCATGTCTTTCCTCCAACAAAGGCAAATCCATTGGTTCATTAGGTTTACCCTTTCTATGAGCGGCAAATATTCTTTTAACCTGATCTAAACTTAAATTGGAATAGTAATCTGGATTGCACATTGGAATACCTTGATCAAGAGCTCGATTAATGATTGCACATAAAGCCCAATAGCCAGTATACTCGATATCTTTGTATGTCACACCAAACTCTTTATCTTCGTCCGGCCAGAAGGAAAAGTTAAGTGAGTCAACTAAAAAAATCCAATTAACGGCGAAATCAGTGGGTTCCTTAGGGTGTAATTCATGTTCCCTCCACATTCCCAGAGTGTATTCACCTCTTATCAAAGCCGTATAAATCTTCAAAACAGGTAACACAAAATTAGAAAACATTAATTAGAAGTTTATGTAAAATGATTTCGATAACTCGGTTAACATACCTCTGTTGCCATTCGGTGTACACCTTCGTAATTAATATGAACATTTTTTGAGATCTTGGCGAGGAATTCAGCAGTTTCTTTAGGATTTATTACCTTATTAGGCATGATTACAATTGATTAAATGGGAGAACGGTTTGATGATTTTAAAAAATTAACTGTACACTAGAAATGAGAAAAGGAAACTGAAGCAGTTATTATAAGGACAAGTAGAGTTAAAGAGCAACAAGAGATTACACAAGGAGGTAAGGTGCTGATAATGAGATAAGGGCAAACTCTTCCCCACTCTGAAGATGGAGCTGACGAAAGGTAAAAAGGAAAAGGAAAAGTAACATTTTTTTATGTTTATTTACTGTTAGTTAATTTGATTGATTGAATTGTATTTTAAAAAAGAGAGGGAAAAACGAATTACTTTTCCCTTCCTTTTTTACCTTTCACCAGCTCCATCTTCAGAGAGGGATCGTAGTTAGATCATGGTGCTTTCCTTGTGTAAAATATTTCAATGAAGACTCGGACCTTTGGCTTCTCGAGTTATTCTTTGGTTCTCGTTGATCGAAGCTAATACTTTAATCTTGATTAACCCACGTAATTGTGGCAAATTATGAATTTTGCTATTCTCACGAAGTCTAACTTAGAGAGGGTTAACTTGAATCAATTTATTCCATTTTTAGGTACGAGAACGTTTTGAAATGGAGCTTTCATATGAAATAAAATTGAGATTTTTTTTACAAATGTTTGCCACAAATTTACAAAAAAGTAGTGAAATTATTTTTAAGTTTCATTAAAACAGATTTATGTTACAAGTGACTTTATGCGTTTATTATAATTATTCATTTCATTAACAAACTTTAAGACTCGCTTTTGAACGTCGAGTCCACGAGATACATTGAATCCCATTCTTTCAAAAAACTCTTTGGGTAAAGCAAGAGGAGCAGGAAGAGGTTGACTAAGAGTGGATAATGATCGCATGTCGGAAAAATCATGATTCATATCAGACTCTTCCCCAGCAAAGAACTTTGGGAAATATTTTTTCAGTAGTTTTTTGGGTAATAGACGGAGTCGATGTTCAACTGCGTTGGATAATTTAGGTTTATCTGAAATTATGTCATCATATGAGTAACAAAGAGGTTCTTCCAGGGTACGCAGTAAATCTCCAGCTCGAACGTTATAATGAACCAATCGGTAATCATGTGTTATGTAAGTTTCATAGCCGCTGGTAGTAAGTTGGCGACCATCAATGGCATCTAAATGATGAGGGTGGGAAAATTGCCACTTAGCATAGATACGATCAATATTGGCGTGGTGCAGGAAAAAAAGAGAGCTGGAATAAAAATAAGAGATTTATATTAAAAGACACCCAATGACAGCCGATTGTGGTAGTGAGTGAAATTACATGATACTTACTCAACTGGTGATGAGATCTACTAAAGTCACCATTAAATCCACCAATAGAGAAATGGATTGCATTATGCAGTGAATGCTCTAAAGTTTGCCGGAATTCATCATAATTTGAAGAGGTTTGAATCAACGAAGTTATAAACACTGGTGAATGCCAGGAATGAATAGTGTCAGGATGGGGTCCTTGAAAATCACGCTTTACACAACGTGTCCATGGATAATTGACTTTTAGACCCGCCATAAATCCATCTGTAAGACAATAATTATCATCTGGTGAACCATTACCGCCAAAAGCGTGGGATGAAAAGACTTCAGCTTCATGTGGAGCATCAAAATCATTAGCAGCATCCTGAAATCAAATATAAAGCTAATTAGTCAAATAAGAAAATTAAAATTGAATAGAATTGTGTTTTTATAAAGACAAATTGATACTAACCCAATAAGGTAAAGTTAAATCAGAATCAATGGACATCATTCGGGTTTCAAAATCATGAATGAAAAGTCTGTGCCAAACCAAAAACTGAGGGTAATCATGGATGAATCGAAAATTAGATGAATGAATTTCTGCTAGTTGATCAAAGGTTCCATCATCGTACATCTTCTTAAAAGCTTTTACGTATTTTTTCCGTTCCGATTTTTTAAGTGACGCAAAGTTTCGACGGATTCTAATATCATCGCACTCACAATATATCTCGTTGATGATTAGTAAAATGGTAACACATGAAAACAATTTATTATTGGGTAACATTGTAGTTTATAAATTGAGTTGAATTTTTAGAGCACTACACAGTCTAAAAAGAATCTAAACTGGAAGGGTGAATGGAAAATTGGTGCGCAGGAAGTCGCTAAAAGCTAATCAAGTTGCTCCAGGACTGGAAAACACGATTTCCATAGAAATAAGAAGTTTAATTTTTAACCGGCTTTAATCTTCACAAGACTCACATAGGTGAAGAAAGTATATGAAGGCAGGGCATAACAAATCCAATTTTAAACTCTTCTGTGATTATTAAGAGATTTCTATTAAAATCACAATTCAAGACATAAATCGGAAGCTTTGTACAAGTCAAAATTGCTCTAATAAATTAAGATTTATGAGTATAACAGGTTTATAATATTTTCACCTAGAATTGGCAAATCTAACTATTTCATTTTTTACAAAGTTCAGCTTATTGAAAGCTGTGAATACATTTGATGGCAGGTAAGTGAAAAGATCTTGCATCGTATGAATGGCCGTCATCATGGGAATCAGTTTGAATTGACGTTGACGCTCAACATTGTACAATACTTGATTCAATTGTTCTTGGCTGGTTTCATTATCCGAAAAAATGTCCTGACCATTTGATAAGGCTTCGTCTAAATATTGTCCTAGTATCTCTGCATCACCTAAGCCCAAATTCAATCCTTGACCAGCAAGTGGGTGAACTCGATGAGCAGAATCTCCTAAAAGAGAAGAAAAGTAACAAAAGTTGTTAAAAGATTAAAAACCATAAATTGGCTATTTCCTCTGAAAAATCAGTTCTTATAATAAATATTACTTTGCATTGAGGGAAGGAAGTCTCTACGCCAGAGGCGGTAATGGTATGAGATTAAGTATAAATCTACTCCAATATTTAAACAAAAATTTTACCTATTAAAATGCATTTCTGTTTATCACCTCCTTTGACTGTTCCAACCATCCATGGAAGTGTGGTACCGAATTTAAGGGGGAAAGATGCTCTAGATTCGGGTTCGATTGAAATAACTTGAGGAGGATTTATTCTAGGAAGTGAGGATGCAGCGTCCGAAGGTATAATTTTTTCCAAAAGAGAGTCACAAGTATTAGTAACAAAACTCAGCATTGATTGATTTTTAGAAACATTTGCATCTAGGAAGAGATTCTCATTCAAAAGGTTAACAAAAGCCTCATCCGACAGCTCCATCAGCCCATTAACTTGATTTCTTGGTACGCTTAAAACAAATGAAGCAAAATTTTGAGTTAGCGGTAACAGAGCTAAAACGTTTCTGTTGTGAGGAACAAATCTTTGAAATGCTACATCATTTTCATCCAAATCACTTTCTTTTGAAATTTGAACAGTACCAACAATGGCTGATTGACTTAGATCTAAATCGAAATAGTTTATATCTGAGGATTGGCGAACAAAAGAGTTGTAACCATCACATCCAATCAGAAGATTTGTCGTAATTTTTGATTCATCCGAAAGAGTAAGCTCAACAGTTGTATCTCCAGGAATCGCGTCCACATTAGTCAATTTTGAGTCGAATCTGATACAATCAGATCTTATTTTGTTCCGAAGTCCTGCTAGAATGATGTCATTTTCTATTATGTAGCAAAGGTTGTCATCTCCGGGAATATGACATCGTGAATCTTTTATTAGATTGTCAACAAATGAAATACGATGAGGAGTGAATGTAATTCCTTTAGAGTATTTGGTTGACCAAACGTGCATAGATCGGGTTGGCTTGGCATAAGGCTCTAAGTTACTCCATACATCCAAGTTGTTAAAAAATTGTTTACTGGCTAAGGTTAAAGATGATACACGGTTAGATAATAACCTTTCTTGGTTGATGAGTTCACCTAGATTTACGGGTGGCCGATCTTTTTGACTTTCTAGAAGTAGAATTTTTCGATCAGATAAAAAGGGTGATTGTTGAAGGTAAAGGAGAAATGAGAGACCGACTATTCCACCTCCATTAATAACAATATCATAATGAGGGAATTGTTCACCAAATGTTGACATTCCTGAAGCTGGTAACGCTGAATCTGATGGTTCACTTGATGACACCGGTGGATCTTTTTTATATAACTTCTTTTCGGGAGCGGATTCCACTATATTTTCAGTAGTTATCAATGTCCTAATAACCACATGATAAGGCGATAGATTGGCTCTGCTTGAAGCACGCAAAAAACTTAACATTGCTATGATTATATTATTACTTAAAAATCTATTAATTCAAAATAAACAGTCCAATAATAACAAAAGCCAAATTATGTTATTCTAATGCAATAAAGTGTCTTTACAAAAACAAGTAACATGTGTTAAGTATTGTAGTACTGAATGCGCGGTAATTTCAAACAAATTTGAGATTTTATCCGAACTGATTCAATTAATTAATTCAACTAATTATACAATATCTATTATTATTGTAAATTAGTTAATATGAATAAATTAGCAAATTAATCCCACTCTAAGATTTGATCCCTCCTTTTCTCGTGAGAAATATTTTTATATTAGATTCAACCTTGACTAACAAAGTAAATTTCAAAGAAATATCAGTGAGTTTATTGTTCAAAACATGAAAAAATTTTGGAACGCTTCTGAGGTTGGCTCGTGTTTGATAAATCAATAGAATTTGTAAGATAATTAGCATTTAGTTAATTTTATTAAGCAAAATAATTCACTCTTCATGTTTTAGCCTTTAAACAACTTGTTTGTTTGAAGAGTTAATACAAAAAAATTTAAATTCATAAAATTGAGTTAAGAATCAGGGAAGGATTTAATCAACAGTTGAGATTTTCATTATTGAAGCACATTATTAGAGACCATTTCATCCTCTTGACAATATAAAGATTGTTGACAATTAAAATCCAGTTAATAAGCTTATCACCGATAGAAACCTGAATATTTTAAACATCCGAAATACCATTGAAATTTTAATCTTATGAATTTCAATAATAAGCGCTCGCCATATTTATTAACTGTCTTTGAACACCACGAGCTAATGTAGTAAAATCATTGAGCGAATGCTTAAATCTGCAGATTGAAATTTCAAGTCGGTTACTGGAAATTGGTGTCCAATATCGGCCAATGTGGCTTTAATTTAATGAAAATTTCCAAAATAATATACAAGAGTTTCAAATACAAGTAAAGTTGAATTTATCAGAAGTCAATGGAAACATTTTTTACAATTTAAAATATATTAACCAAGAAAAAAATTAATAATCTGCTCCGTATTCATTTCTGTGAATATTTGAAGCTTGCTCCATGTTGTTGATTTACCGTGAAATTATCTTTACTAGAGGCTCCTCGAGCTAGCATTTTACGGAAGGCCGATTTAAAGTTTTCATTGCATAGAGCATACAGGAAAGGATTGATTGTTGAATTAAAATAACCTAGCCAGATAGCCATAGTGTGAACAAAATGATTAATACATGAACAGTAAGCTGTAACAATGAAAACAATAACATATGGCAGCCAGCAGATGATGAAAGCCCCAAGAATTACACCAAGTTGACGAGCAGCTTTCTTTTCTTGGCGAAGTCGCGATGATTCAACTCTTCTCATTACATTTTTGTGACTTTGTATTGATGAAGAAGATAAATAAGAAAACGATCCATGATGATCTAGATTTGATTGATGAAGATGATTCTGATAATGATGATGGTGATGTGGATGAGAATGGTGATGATTAAAACTTGATCCTGCCTTGTTACGATGAGCTAGACCAGGGCTTAAATCGTTATGAATAAATCTGTCCCCACCAGAAAAAGAAGACTGGAACTTTGATCGGCAGTTAGTCGGCCATTTTGCTTGACAATAATTTTTATTACTGGGATAACCTTTTTGCATCTTTTTATCGCTATTACAAGGTAAACCATTGGACGGTGAACATTCTGATCCTTCCAGCGAGACGGGACAAGACAGTTGATGGTCATTAGGTAATGATGTTGAAGAAGGTGAACTTTTACCAGTTTTGCGACGACAAAATTTTATAGCTTTATTTTTTAATCCATCCATGACCATAATTTTGGAGGACAATTGTTGACTAGAATTGTTATCACTAGAATCAGCTTTTAAAGTCGATGTCATTCCTGTTACCCCGGGAGTTGTGAGCGTAGATTCAGTCAAACCAGATTCAATATACTCGACACGAACATCTACATCTTTATAATCCTCTAAAGAATAAGCTCGATTACCAGCTTTAAGTACAATCAACTGTTTGTACCGATGAACATTATCATAATCAATAATTCCATCTCTAACAACTTCAATTGGTAACTCAAGATCGCCATCAGCTTCACTGACAACTTCTTGAGTGAAGGTATCATCTGATGAACATCGCTCAATATTAATGTTTGACGATTTCAGCAATGGGTTAGGAAGTAAAGATGAAGAACAATCAGTTGAAGGTAAATTTAACGTTGATGAGCAACACACAGGCAATACTCTTGGATCATCACTATTGGAATACCATTTATTTTGAGTCCTTTTACCAGCATTACTGGTAGACCACGATTTACGATAGCCTTTTGGTCTAATTGTAGTTGGTGACGAATCAACAATCTCCTTGTTACATAATGAACCATCAGATTGATTAATCCTTTTACCGGCAGCACCAGTTAAAACAGCTGCTTTACCAGAATGTCCATTACCATGGCTACTCGCAGAGCCAATGATATCAAATTTACCTCGTCTTTTAATCTCTTTGTAAATTTTATAATAAAGGATTACCATTAAAGACATTGGTATTAAAAAATTGACTACCGATGTTGTCACCTTGAATATGGCATCATCGGAAAATTCAGTCTCACATACAGCACCATCATGCTTACGATTACCATAATTGTACCAATGATGCCAACCAATGATTGGTACAATCCAACAAGCGGCCAACAACCAGACAATTACAATCATTGCTAAAGCACGTTTCTTGGTTCGTTTACATAGATATTTAAGTGGACTTTTAATTGACCAATATCGATCAAGGCTAAGAATTAATAGATTAAATATCGAGGCAGTTGATGCGGTATAATCAATAATTAACCAAAATTGACAAACAAATAGACCAAATATCCAGTCACCAGTTAAAACGTAGGCCGATGAGATGGGCATAACAATTAATCCAACAATAAGATCAGCAATCGCCAAACTCAATATAAACATATTACTAACCTGTATAATAAAATAAACAAAAAAAAACAATCAATTATTTACAAATCAAACAAAACAACAATAAGACACAAAGCAGGTTCAATCTGCAAGTTGAACCGCCAAATTGAATCAAACTGCACTTTTTAAGAAGCGCAATTTTCAAAGTAAAGTCATTAGATGAAATTTATTTAAATTACTTGATAATTTGCATACAAATTTGATTCGATTTGACTTTTAAAATCAATTGTCTAAAGTAAAAACAAAATGATACAAGTATATTGTGAATCTAAAACAGTAACACTTTACTGTAACATCTGTTAATTTAATCTCAACTTTAACCTTAAATATGTTTGCCCTAACAAATGCATCCAACAGTAATGCTATATCATTGTCACAGTTAATCAAGTAAACTTTAACCATTAAAAAATTACATTTCCATGTAACAATCTTTCCATTTTAATCACAATTAATCGTCACCAAAATGCAATCCCTTATATTTAACTTAACCCATCTTTACAATGACACAAAAATTACATTTGCCTCTCATTTGAATTGTAAACAAAAGACTTGACGTAAATTACATTACCAGCTGAATTAATTAAAGATTGAACAGATTTTAGGTAAAATAAATTGAACAAAACATATCAACCATTTAAGCCTAAAATCAAAGTCAATTAATCCGATTAAATAAGCTAATACAAGGAACAGCAATCAATACAATTTAAGCTTGAAAAAACCCCGAACCAGAAAAAAAGGGAATCTCAAAAAATGTAGCAAAAAGGTTGAAGAGACGAGGATAGATTCATATTGAATGTTCAACATGATTAACTGTATTCAATGATTAAGTTGTCATTGATATTAAAAAGAGTCAAGATTAATTTAGAAGCATTGAAAGGTTCATAAGATCATTAGTTGATGAGAGTGTAAAAAATGATTGCCAAAAAGACGAGCAAAATTGTAGGCTAATTGAATTGCTTGTTACCCATGTTTCAGGGTAAATCTTGATACTCATGTTGAGGCCTTTCTTTCGCTTCACTTTTCCCCATCTTAATTATTCATTTTCATTACCATGTATTTCATAATCGGAAGCTGGTTCAGCAAAATTTCACATTTTCATCGTTTTTTTATTGTTATCATCATTTTACCAGACAACCAGACAATATTCAGAATGCATTACAAGCTTTTTTTCCCTTCTTGTTCAACCTCTTTTTGTTCACTTAATTATGAATACAACAGTTAATCAATGGTTACTATCTTTAACGTGTTAATTAATAGTTGATTGAAATCATTTCCTTCCGTCAGAATTGAATGAAACTTATCATTTAATAAATTATTCACTGTTAATCTTGTAGCACCAAGAAGAGACGAGTAAATGTTTAACCCAAAAGTGTTTTTTTTCTCATTTCATTTGTAAATTGTTTACGATTAAAGGTAAATTTAGTATATTGAATAAGCTGATACTTTCTGAATTCAGGATTATGGACAGAATTGGAAAAAAAAGGATTAAATTGGTCACTTTCATGTCAATAATAGGTGAAAGGATAACTTGCAGTAACTAAATTTATACCCAAAAGATTCAAAGAAATTGTAAAATGAAAGAAATGAGAAAGGCTTAAGAAACCAGAATAAATCGGGTTTACTCAATTCTTGATATTAAGAAAAGGCGAAATGGTCTAGACGAATGTTTCAACCTTTTCAGGTTCAGAGGTTAGACTTGCCTCGGTGAACGACCAGACAATGTAAGGACAAAATAATGAGAATAATTTCAACGATTTCTCAAAAGTAGCAAAGTTGCTTCCTTACATTTGGCTTAAATTTACATAAAATGCCTTTATAATGTCCTGGTTGCTAATACTTTTCAACCTCTCATCATCTGTACATAAACTCATGATAACATTTGATGAAAGGATTTGTTTTCAGCAGAAAAACTGATTCAAGACCAACATTAATCATCGTTGAACAATGGAAACGCCAGTGAATCTCAATCAACGGCAAAATAAAATTTTAAAGGCAACCCAAAAAATCTGGTTAATTGACAATGAAAGCTGTGTTACTCTTTAGCGTTATGTTCAACTGTTACTAATTCAGCTCTGTATTATCAATTTGATCAAGATCCGATGTCGACTGATTTAGGCTTATTATAACGGTTAGCTGTTGCACGAATCACGAGTTAGCAATATAAGATAAACTTCGCTATATTTTTGGGTAATTTGGGTTTTTTGGCGATTTTAATATGAAATGGCAGAGTGAAAATTGTATGCTGCTTTAAAATTGACTTTGAAGTTCATCTATTAAAATGGGTTTCTCACATTTTCATCAAGACTTGGATTTGGTTAATTTGGGTTAACATTGATTCCTTTCTGATTTGCATTTCACCAATTTTCAACACTTTTCAGTAAATTTGATCAAATCCTAATTACTTTCACCATTAACGTGGCCAGCTCAATAAGCACTGTTAATTGGTCTGAAACCAATAACATTTGAAGGGTAAAAATGGTTTTCACCCGCAATGTTACCCTTGCTATTCACATAATTGATCATCTTGCATCAAACTAAACTTTATATTTAACAATAAGTGATCATTTTTCAAATTGATGATTGTTGGCTTACTTTGTAAAGCAAGAAAGATGATTGAACAGGAAAAATATGAGTCAGGATAATAATGATAGTTATACAGATAATGATGATGATGATGAGGAGTAAAGCAGTTGAAGAGAAACAAAGTTAACAATGTTTCACCCTTTTATCCAGTGTTGGTACCTTTTTTTATTTCTTGTTAGCACTTTTAAATTTTTGCTTAACTTTCAGATATTTTTCAAGTTCAATAAATGTTGCTCAAAGATAATCTGAAACCTATTCTGAATCAATTGAGAAATGATGTTGACATTGCATTAACATTAACAAAAGAGACAATAATGATGTTCTGAGCAAATTAATGTTTCATTTTTCAAATGAAAGCAAATCACTGATTCAAGTTGATCAACATTTCATTTTTCAAAGTTCTCCCATCATCATAAACATGAAACAATCAAAAGAGTTGATTGACTATCAATCGACTGTCAGTTGTAATTCAAATCTAATACATTAAACAATTAAATGAGCTTAAATTAAAGTTAAAAAAGAGTCTAAATTGTCAAAGAAACAAATCTTCATTTGATGAAAATAAAGTTTAAAAAAGCTGTCTTGAGATTTCAATTTAAACATTAAAAGTGAAATCACCTTTAAAGGTTAGTGAAGAGTAAATACAACAATTGAAATTGTTTTAAATTGTCATTCGTATGTCATGTAAACATTAATTAACAATCAACAATCAATTTACTCATCCAAAGGGAATGAGATCAAAATGAGAAAAGGCAACATCTCAAGAGATGCCAGTTGATGAAATATTCAAATGAAAAAAGTACAATTTATCATAATTTCCATGATAATTGATCAACTTTAATCAATCGTTTCCAACCTTTTGTAGCATTTTCGTGAATAAATCAGCATTATCTCATCACAATAATTGAAAATTAACTAACAAAATGAAATGAGTTGAAATGTGAAAGCATTTATCCGTTTGCAAGTTAATAGGAAAAGAAAGAAAATAAGTTTCAATTCAGTTGAAAATAAAGTAGGATTATGAGGATTTCATGAGGAAAAGAAATATTTCCAGCACAAGAATTGGTAAGGAAATTTGCTTCCATCAGAATCAACATTTATTCACTCGTTGATTCATTGACAGAAACTCTTGACAGAATTATTACAAAATCTTTCAATACATTTGATTCGGTGATCTTCATTCATCTCTATTTCAAAGTCGACAATTTTCTTGGAATCAAAAATTTCTCATTCTTTCCATCATTTTCAATGGTTATATGAATCAACCTGAATCCTTTCAAGTGATTCATTCTTTTCTTTTCCAAGCTCAATCCTCTTCTGGATGAGTTGCCTTTTTTTTACGTCTCTTTACAATCGATTCACCATTTTCATCATTTTATTCATCCTTTTCGGTTTACAGATTAGCAACTCTTGAGATTAACGATTGATTTGTAAATTGAATTGTTGAGCAAATAGTTTATCCTCTGTTTGTTCATCTTTAACCTTTATTATAAGTTGATAGTCAATCGACCAGTTAATCAACTGTAAAACGCATTACAGTAACTGCTCCAGTTGAGTCTGTTTGTCAAGAACCAGAACTGTATTTCAAGTGAAATATCCAGAATAAAGAAAAGGTTGATTCGTATTCGTCTGCTTTTCATGTACAGTTATCGTTTGGATAAAAAAAAGGTAAAATGAAGAAAAGTTGATTTGAATTTGGTATTGAAGATCAATATTTGACAGAATTGATCAAAGCAAGTGTAAAGGGTTTAAAATTATAAAGAGATTGAGTTAAATAAAAACAAATGAATAAATGAGGTCAGTCTCAGTATACATTATTTATCGATCTAATTTGTCCGTCTCGAGAAAAAGAGCATTTCAATAGAAGATTAAACATAATGGAATTGAACTTGTCTTCATTGCTTCAAGATCCGATTGAAAGATAGTCAAAGAGCGCGATTAAAGAGTTTTGTTTTATTATAGATTTTGAAAAATGACTTTTTGTTGAGTAAAACTGCTTTAATAGTGAGATTAATTTATGATACACATGCAAAGATGTGGATAAATGCGATTGAATTAGATCAATAAAGTGTGCAATGTTAAGCTGCAGTAAAATTTCGAAAGGTCAGCATTTGATAAAATGGCCATCAGGTCTGATTCTGGTCATTGTAGATGCTTCACTTATCAATCAATATAACCTGGCTACACAGTTGTTTGCTCTAACTCATAGTTTGTTTTGTTCAAGAACGGCTGCATTTCACTCGGTAAGCTACATCTTTTTGGCTCATATTCAATAGATCTGTCGATTGAGCTATTAAAGAACCGTGTTTATGCAAATTTTCAGCACTCTAAGATGTTCAGTCAAGAAGATATTGCTAAAAATCGTTTTAACTCCAGATCGTGATTGTGATTGAACGTGAAATCCAACGAAACTTTGACAA